CTCTTAATCAACAAGCTACACTGCCTTTCAGAATGTACTCAAGGAATGACTATGTGATGAGTGAATGAGTGAGTGAGTAAGAGAGGAAGGATAAAGTAGAAACATGCCATTATCACAGAGGAAGGTTACCTCTTTGTTGGTCATAATTGGGGTGAGTGTGCATGCAGTTCTACATAATAGCAATACATAAGTATTTAGATGTATTGTACATTGAAGAAAGCAGGAGAGCCATATCAAAGTTCTGGTCTGCACCAGTTGGAAGTGAAATTAAACTCTCTGAAACCGATGTGCTCAGGAGCCTGTTAGCATTGCACCGGCTTTAAAGATGCAATGGGAGCTCGAGGTGTGGGCCGGGCGGGTGTGCAGGCCTGCCTCTGAGCAGACGTCTGCCGGGCAGGGCAGGCGTGAAGAAGACATGAGCGCATCCTCCGGAGAAGAGCAGGTCGGCCGTTAGTGGAAATCATTGTGCCTAAAGCCTATTCTTAGGTTGTATGTTCTCTGGGGAAGAAAGTGAGAGAAGGGGTTTTGAGGATGTGCATTCAGTTAATGGGTCTGTTTCTTTGGAGGAGGGGATAGGATTCCCCCCATTTTAGAAATCGAAGCTGACTCCATCATGAGCTGATTCCGAGGGTGCTTGATGGTCAGGAGGAAGTTAGAAAGGACACTGAGGCACACTGGGTCTCTGGAGCCCACCGCCTGCCACTCACCAGCTAATAACCTCAGGAAAACCACTTAAACCCCGAGCCTCCCTTTCCTCATCTGTAATGACGCAGGAACAGTCCCGCCTGATCTAAACACGAGAATTGGGAGGTTAACCCTTGACCAAACTGATGATTATGAAGAACAGGGAGTGTAGCCAGGATTGGAGTCCACCAGTCAAGATGGGAACTAACTGGGGCTGGAGATAGGTCTCTCTGAGGCCCTTTCAGTCTGTGTTCTGATTTGTATCTTTTTATAAGGGACGAGGTTGCCCGGACTCCAGCTCAGTTCAGAGCAATTGAGCTGATTGTCTTATGACAGGAGGCCCCTGGGTGGTGGCGGGGTCTGTGATGCTCCAGTACCTTTTGTAGAATGTGATGAGTCTCCTTAATTCTGGGTTTCTCTTTCGCTTTGGGCTTGGAGCATCTGCTTGTGGTTTTGTGGTAAAGCAGAAAGGGAGTCTGGTGTCAAGTTCAGGCTTAAGACGTTAGCTGTGTGAACTTGAGTCAGTCACAGCTTCTGTGAGTCAGTTTCCTCAGCTGTCATTGTTACGTGTTGGTGGTGAGGTCATTATTAAAAATCTCAAAAGAGGAGATTGGGTGTGAAAGGGCTTTGTAGAAGGTGAAATATACATATTTTTTATTTTTAAAAAATATTTTTATTGATTTCAGAGAGGAAAGGAGAGAAAGATAGAAACATCAATGATGAGAGCGGATCTCTAATTGGCTGCCTCCTGCATGCTCCCCAGTTGGGTTGGAGCCATTAATCAGGGCACGTGCCCTGATCTGGAATCGAACTGTAGCCTCCTGTTCATAGGTCAGTGCTCAACCCTGAGCCACACTGGCTGAGTGAAGGCAAATTTGTAATTTAAGTCATTAAAAACAAAACAAAACAAAAAAAACCAACAGCTCATAAAAGAATGAATTTAATCGGTTTATGTGTAATTTCAGCCAAGTCCCATCTGATGATGTTGTCTTGTAAGATTTCCTTTAGCTTCCCATCGATTTGTTAAAAAAAAAAAAGGAGATGGAAAGAGAGGTGGCCCGGCCTGTGATTACTCAGGCTCAGGGCTCTGGAGACCGGTTCTAGCTTGTCCTGGACCTGTGGGATGTTCTCAGCAGAAATGCCTCTCCCACAGGACAATTTGAACCAAATGCTGGAAATTCCAGAGCTCTCGGCCGCTGAGTATCTCAAGAGAAATACTTGAAAATCCGTAAAGTCAAGGGAAACTTTTTCCCCCTCATCTTTTCAAATCGTCCACTCCCATCGTTTAGTTCTGTGAGTGGTCACATTCCAGGGTAGCCATGCCTTTTTAAAATAGTCACATTTTTAAAGGACAAGATTAAGTAGCATGAATGCATATTTAATGACACTAGAAATTCTAGGTTCCACCATTCATTGGACGACTGTTTATTGAGTGCCTACTATGTGCTAGGCATGGTGCTGGGCCCCGGGGACACCACAGCGCCCAAGGCAGACAAAATCTGCCCCCACACACCTTCCTGTTTCGTAGGCCCTCAGACATTAAATAAATTAACCCACAAAACAAATCGACAAACCTAGCTAGCGTGGCAAGTGCCTCGACGACGAAGGATGACGGGGGATATGACTTAGATGGGCGGCGAGGGACGGCTTCTGCGAAGGGGCTCTTGAAGCTGAGGCCGGAAGGGTGAGACGTCCATTAGGCAGAGGCCATGGCAGGTGCTACTGTCCCGCCGTGGGGAAGAAACCAGGAACCCCGGTGGCCGGAGTGCAGTGGGGGAACGGCATGAAGTTAGTTAGGAGGGAGGCATGGTCGCTAGGCACCCACCCGGCTGGTGATTTTGGATTTGATCTTCAGCAGCATTCGATTTGGTCATGGAAACGAGTTTGATCAGGCTCCTTCCTCGGGAGGTAGAGTTTGCCAATCTGGAAGCGTTGCTAATCCCACGCGAAGTGATGCCTAGGGCCATTTTTTAAAGGCCGGGGTGGGGGGGGTGGGGGTGGGGGGGGGGGGGGTGTACTGTTCTTCCGAAGACACGGAGCTATACATGAAGTGACGTCAGATCCGTCTCCTCCGGAGAGGAATCCGTTTCCCCCGCCTGTGCTGCTGACTCAGAGGCGAGCTCCACCATGCTGGCTGGAGGAAAGCAGGCGCCCCCGTCTGTGTGTGCGTGCCGTTTCCCAGTGGCTGGAAGAAAAGGTCTGACCTTGGCTCGCTGGTCGATGGACGATGGGAAAGCCAGAAAGGAAGTTTAGGAGGTCAGGATCTCTGCCCTGGTTTCCACGTCCTGCTGCATTCCAGGGGAGTTTTGCCTGGTAAAGCCAGAGCATGCCTGAGCCGGAAAGGACCTCAAGGATCAACTCATCCACCCTTCGTTTTACGGGCTCGGGTGCTCATGGGGAGACGGGCCATGACAGCACCCCAGGCCCCTCGGAGGTGCCGGCCTTGGCACTGAGGTGACATTGGGAACGGGCTGCTGAAACCACGTCAGATGCGGAGCTTAGGGCCTGAGCTGTGGTGCCCGGAAGGGCCTCTTACCCCTGGTTCAGCTGCACGGAGCACACCGTCACTAGGTCTTCGGCAGTTGGCTCCCAGGTGTCCAGGGCTCTCTCCAAGGGGAAGCCTGTGGTCACTGGGAGTCTGGGTGTGTTGCCATCACTCTGCTGCTGGGGAACTAGACATTCTCATTAATAAAATTATTTTTTTTTAATATTTTTATTTATTTTTAGAAAGAGAGGATGGGAGAGGGGGAACAAAACATCCATCAGCTGCCTCCTGCACGCTCCCTACTGAGAATCAAGCCCCAAACCCGGGCATGTGCCCTTGACGGGGAATCAAACTGGCAACCTTTCGGCGTGCAGGACAACACCCAACCAACGGAGCCACCCGGCCAGGGCTGAAGGGAAGTCTTGTGTGTCACAGACAGGGAATGACACGGCATGGTATATGAATAATGTTAGTACTGAGCCTCATCACCAGAAATTACGCTGAGGTTAGTACTACTTCACACCGGGTTTTGTATTTCACTTGCCACCCTGCAGCATCTGTGTTTATTTGAATAATAGTTGGACATCTGTGTGTGTGGCATGATATTTACTCAGCCCACGTGGAACAGTCAGTAGGCAGGTGGGCTTTGATGACCCGCTGCAGTAATTGATTCGCTCCCCCAGGCATTGGGGGCCCAGTCATTTGGAGCCATGGGCTCAGGAGCATTGTCCTGCAGTAAACCGGCACCTATAGAAAATGACGCTAATATAGTCAACTTCTTGGGAGGGCGGGAATGAGCCAGTGTAAATACTAAACCCACTCTACAGATTTAAAAATACTCTTATTGCTTTTTTGGTTTTGGTTAATCCTCACCTGAGGATATTTTTTCATTGATTTTTAGAGAGAGTGGAAGGGAGGCGGAGAGACAGAGAAAATCGATGTGAGAGAGACACATCGATTGGTTGCCTCCCGCACATGCCCTGACCCCAGCCGGGGACCGAGCCTGCAACTGAGATATGTGCCCTAGACTGCAATCCAACCTCATTCTGCAGGCCAGCGCGCTCTCCACTGAACCAAACCAGCTGGGGCTATTGCCTTTTTTAATTACAGAAGTAATTCAAATTCATTGTAAGAACCGGCACCGTTGCAGAAATATATAACTGAACAGTTTGGTGTTCAGTGTTCCAGTTTGTTTCCGTGCATTAAGTAGCATTAATTACTAAGGCTTTTATGGACACAGATGCTACTGTACGTAATGTTCTCTGAGTGTGTGTGTTTTTAATGTAATGGGCAATTTATTTTAAGGAAGCCGCAAGGTTCAGTGGTCTGGTTTCCGGGTTTGAGTCTTAGATCTCTAATAAACTGGTTAGTTGACTAGTGTAATGCAGGGGAGGGCAAAGGTAAGTTTGCAATTATTGTTATGGGAAATAAGACAGTAACTAATAAATACTAATATGAGAATAAACTGTATGCTTCATGTGCTCACAACTGTCAACCTACTTTTCCCCACCCTTATAGCAATTCCACGCTGGCAGACCCCAGGTGAACCTCAGATCTCTCTCAGCCTCACTTTTCAGGTCTCTAAAATGGGTATTTGTCTTTTCTCCCGAGGTTGTGGTAAGGACCCCACGAGATAGCATGTAGAAAAGGACTTTGAAAACCATACTGTATTCCATAAATATAAAGGTTTGTTACTATCGACACTTAGGACTTTAGTCCCTTTCCGTTTTTTACATGCTTTGATCCGCATTCGTGAATACTCGGCCTGGTGATAACTTACTCAGGGGTTGCCTTGGAGGTGAGTGGTAACTCGCTTTTTCCCTTTTCCCAGGTTACTCCCGGAAGCAAGGCCGCGATAGCCAATTTGTGTATCGGTGATATAATTACGGCCATCGATGGGGAAAATACCAGCAACATGACGCACTTGGAAGCTCAGAACAAGATCAAGGGCTGCGTCGACAACATGACTCTCACAGTGTCCAGGTAAGGCTCCGGGAACACCCGTTCCTTTCGGGTCCACTGGAAGCTGCCTGTGGCAAGGACTGCCTCTCCCGTCTGAGTCCCTGACACCCCAGCTCAGCGCCAGGTATCCATAGGCAGGTCACAAGGTCTGTGGAATTGCCCTTGCTGGTTTGGCTCAGGGGATAGAGCATCGGCCTGCAGATGGAAGGGTCCTGTGTTTGATTCCGGTCAAGGGCACGTACCTCGGTTGCAGACTCCTTCCTGGCCCTGGTTAGGGTTCGTGCAGGAGGCAGCCAATCAATATGTTTCTCTCACATCGATATTTCTCTCTCTCCCTTTCTTTTCCACTCTCTCTAAAAATCAATGGGAAAATATCCTGGGGTGAGGATTAAAAAATAATACCGTGTTTCCCCGAAAATAAGACCCAGCGCATGGAAAGATAAGACATCCCCTGAAAATAAGACCTAGTGCAACTTTGTGAGAAAAATATTAATATAAGACACTGTCTTATTTTCGGGGAAACGGTAATAATTACAAAGGTCTGTGGAATTGGAATTTCAGTTGCTTATTTCCCCTCTAATTGTCATAGTGCTTCTTATATTGTAGGTGTCTTTCTGCATTGTTATTGTTGTTAATCCTCACCTGAGGATATTATTCCATTGATTTTTAGGGAGAATGGAAGAGAGAGGGTAAGACAGATGAGAGAGGAACATATCGATCGGTTGCCTCCTGCATGAGCCCAGACCAGGGCCTGCGCTGGGGAGGAGCACGCAGCCATGGTATGTGCCCTCGACTGGAATCAAAGCTGGGACCCTTTGGTCTGCAGGCTGACGCTCTATCCACTGAGCCACACCAGCTATGGCTCTGCATTTCCACCTGATCCAGTACCACTTTGAGGAAGTGAGATCGTTAACGACTGCCAAGTATAACGCAACGAAAACTTCCTGGAAGCCACTGAGAATCTGCTCAGGAGGCGGCCCCTGCCACCCTGCGCCAGCAGTGGGTGCTGCGCCAGGAGGTTACGTGACAGACGGGGAGAGAGCAGCCCGCCGGGCGCAGCGCTGAGGGTGCCACCGCTCAGGGACGCGGCGGGAAGGAGAGCTGACCGCGCTCAGAGGCTGGCGTGTGGGGAGCGTGCCCCGGAGTGGTGACGGGGGTAGAATTCCCGTTCTTTTGTTGAGTCTTGGAAGGAAAGAGCGTGATTTCAGAAGCGATTTGATTCAACCTCGATGGCTCCTTCTTTCCTGTCGGATCAAGTTCCCGTTCTTCATTCTGATCTGCTATGGCTGCTGCTCTTTAAGGACTCATTAACAACTTAGCTCTTCCTCACCAACCCTTGGCTCAGGCGCTCATCTGTGGATAGGTTCTTGGCTTTCTCCTGCCTGCACCACGAGACTGGTGGGAGGACCAAGTGCGGGGCAGGATAGCGAATATTATGTACACATCATGGGAGGTACACATTTTATGACTGCCCCCCTCTAAAGCTCATTTACCCCCTCGTTCCCTTTTCTGTTTCCACCTCAGTCCAGATCTCCTCCTTCAAGCCTTAGTTTGACAGTCACTCGTGTATTTATTAACGAGGGGCCCAGGGCACGAATTTGTGCACCTTGAAAGGAACTGTGGGCTGTGAGGCTGTGGTGGGCATAGGGCAGGTCTCCGCCCATTCTCCGTGCCCCCGCCTGGCCCATTCCTGCCGCTGCCACTCCTATGCGCTGACGGTGCCAGCCTCGCTTGCAACCCCTGGTGGCGCAGAGCAATTGGGGCCGGTGCCAGCAGCGGGTGTAAGTGAACGGGGCTGGCACTGTCACTGGGTGAGAACAGTGGCTGCTTTCCCTATTGCCCCTCAGGAGCAGGGGAGGTGGAGAAGCCCCTCAGGGCCGGCAGCTGCTGCTTGCACCTGCTGACGGCACCGAGTGATGGGGACAGCGCTGGGCTCTGGCAGCAGGTGTGAGCAGCTGGTGGGACCTTGGTGCATGCAGTAGCAAAGAATTTTCAGTAACCACCAGACACACTTGTCCCGATGACAGTGACTGGTGCCCCGCCTTGGTCTGGTGCCCCTGCTCACCTGCTCCACCATTCCACCACGGCCGATGCCCGCCATGTTCTGCACTCTGTCACCTGCTGCCAATGCCCACCATGTTCCTTGTGTGCCCCCTGGCAGTCAGCACATGTCATAGCGACCGGTTGTTCGGTAGTTCTGCCGTTCAGTCTATTGATATTTGCATATTAGGGTTTTATAGAGAGAGATAGTTTCATTGATTTTTGACCCAATTACCAACACATTGAAATAGATTTTACTTTTGTGCTTGAGTAAAATCTTTGTACTGTGCTATGCACTCTGACAGTACAAAGGTAAATAAAATATTCTCTCCCCATAAGAGAGAAAAAACCTACACTAATGAAAACTGAGACCAGGCTGAGATTGCAGTTGGTCCAGAGAAACCCTTTGCAGAATCTATAAAGGAGGCATCACTTTTATTTGGTCCAGACAAGCTTCAGGAATAAGTTGGCTATCGGGTTGGATCAAGAACACTGGGTCATGCCGAAACCTGTTTGGCTCAATGGATAGAGCGTTGGCCTGCAGACTGAAGGGTCCCGGGTTCGATTCCAGCCAAAGGCATGTACCTTGGTTGCGGGCACATCCCCAGTAGGGGGTGTTGTGCAGGAGGCAGCTGATGGATGTTTCTCTTGCATTGATGTTTTTAACTATCTCTCTCTCTTCCTCTCTGTAAAAAATCAATAAAATAGTACTTATTTTTAAAAAGGACAGAGAAATGAGATGCTTGTTCTGTTCTGAGCAGAGGTGGGCAGCAGGAGGCATGCTCAGGAGCAGGGAGGCCGCCCATGTGGCTGAGGGACCGCGAGACAGAGTGCGGTGAGGGAGGTCGAGGCTCACGGAGTCCCAGCAGCTGGAAAGCCCCTCGGGGCTGAGCCTGGGCCGCTATCAGACAAGACGTCATCGGACACGGTGCTTTGGAAAGATCACCCTGGTGGCGAAGTGGAAGGAAGGCGGGTGGCAGGGTGCTGGTTCAGAGCCTGGGCGTCAGGCCGGAGGGGGCATCTTCCCAGTCTGCTTTTGGTGGGCGTTACTGATGTAGCACGCACGAAAGAGCAGCTTTGTCCCTCTCTTGCAGGTCTGAGCATAAAGTCTGGTCTCCTCTCGTGACAGAGGAAGGGAAGCGTCACCCGTACAAGATGAACTTGGCCTCTGAGCCGCAAGTAAGTACTTGTCCGCGCCTGCCGCTCCTCGCAGGGCCCGGCAGGACGACGCCCGTGTTTTCCTGCCTCGGAGGCCGGTGATCGGACGCTGGGAGAGCCCGCCGCTGTCCGTGCCGGTGCTGGCTCCGGTTCAGGCCTTCCCGTAAGGGAACTGCCGGAGGAAAGGGCTGGGAAGCCCCAAGGCTGTGACACCGGCCCGGGCTGGGAGCTGGGGGCTGGAAGGCCTTACGGGAAGCGGGGGGAAGCCTTCCTGTGCAGGATGGGGTGGGGGGCCACGGAAAAGCCAGGAGCTGACTCAACTCGTTACGGGCGTCAGAGACAAATGAGTTATGCCGAGAGGGAAGGGCGGTTGAGTCTCGCTGGAGGAGCTGAGGGGAAGATTATGAGTGAGCTTTGCTTCTCTCCTGGTTTCCCACTGCCTGGCTTCCGTGATCCTGAGCGTGCAGGCCTCTCTCTCTGTTACAGTGAGACTTCTAAAGAGAGCTTACCATTATGAAAGTGAAGTAGTCCTTCACAATGGAGTCAGTGCAGTGTGAATTTCCTGGGAAAGCAGACTGTCCCACCCGGCCGGCGTGGCCCAGTGGTTGAGCGTCGACCTAGGAACCAGGAGGTCACGGTTGGATTCCCGGTCAGGGCACATGCCTGGGTTGCAGGCTCAATTCCCAGTATGAGGCATGCAGGAAGCAGCCAATCAGTGATTCTCTTTCATCATTGATATTCTTCTCTTTCCCTCTGCCTTCCCCTCTCTCTCTAAAGAAAAAAAAAAAAAAATTAATAAAAACATATTATAAAAAAAAAAAAAAGTAGACTGTCCTAGGATTCCGTATTTATAAATCTCAGTATTTAGAGTATAGGTGATTTATTACTTTCTTCCTTAATTACATCTTCTGAATAAGCTACAGTGAATGGGCATTCTTTTTTTAAATAAGGGAGGAAAAATTAAAGAAGAAAGTTTAGGCCATAGGTTTGGCTTAGTGGATAGAGCGTCAGTCTACGGACTGAAGGGTCCTGGGTTCGATTCTGGTCAAGGACATATACCTTGGTTGCGGCACATCCTCAGTAGGGGGTTTGCAAGAGGCAGCTGATGGATATTTCTCTCTAATCGATGTTTCTAACTCTCTATCCCTCTCTCTTCCTCTCTGGAAAAAATAAGATGCATTTAAAAAAAAAAAGAAGGAAGTTTAGGACAGTGCAAAATTCCGTACACTGGACATACTATTTTTCACAAAGTATGTGTCTGTTGGATAAATAATGAATTATTAGTAAGTTCATAAGTAAATTGACAACAGTTTTTAAAAACTTCTTTTAGAATAGTTTGTGATTGTTATCAATTTAATCCCACTTGAAAACTTGAATTTTAATTTTCCCCCCCTCTAAATTTGGGAAGCTAATGTTTATGGTGAATTGAGATATAATCAAAAGAGATAACGTAGCTAGCTAGCTTTCGTACATAAAACAGGAACTTGTATGAAACTGAACTCCTGGGTGCGCTCACGTGGGTGAATGGAGGGGTTGCATGCAAGCGATATTTTCTCAAACGGCTTCCATTTAAAATGTCAGAAATCTAATCACAAAATTTCCCACATTGATTTAATAAAAATCACACTTAAGCGTCCTAAGAGTCACATTAAGGATCATTTTGCAGCTGAGATTTCAAGACAGACATGAACTGGCTGCTCCGGGCAGCTCCTGGGAGGGCAGCTCGTCACGTGGGCTCCGTCTGTGAGCTGGCAGTTGTGCAAACTAATTGAACACACGCCACAGTTAATGCCAACCTCCCCGGGCGTTCCAGCCGCTTCCTTAAACTCACTGTAAACGCTGTGCCTTCAGTGTTAAACCCCATCCCTTTCATAATACAGAAGGAATGATTCTGTTTTAATTTGGTCTGCCTAAAATCCTAGTTTTCACTTAAAGTAATACTTAAATTTCAGTTATATTTTGGCATGTATTGTACTTGAATTTTCATTTTACACCTAGAATCTCGTTACCTGTATTCATTTTTAAAATATTTATATATTTATTTGAGAGAGAGAGAGATCAGTTTGGTTTTTAAAAAAATATATATTTTATTGATTTTTTTACAGAGAGGAAGGGAAAGGGATAGAGAGTTAGAAACATCGATGAGAGAGAAACATTAATCAGCTGCCTCCTGTACACCCCCTGTTGGGGATGTGCCTGCAACCAAGGTACATGCCCTTGACCAGAATCGAACCTGGGACTCTTCAGTCTGCAGGCCGATGCTCTATCCACTGAGCCAAACTAGTTAGGGCGAGCCATTAGTTTGTTGTCCCACCTATCCAAGCATTCATTGGTTGCCTCTTGTATGTGCCCTGACCGGGGATCGATCCTGCAGCCTTGGAGTATTGGGACGACACTCTAACGACCTGAGCCACCCAGTCAGGGCTGTGTTAAATACTCTGAAGGGAGTTCTCATCAGATTAAAAAAAAAAAAAAAATTCAAATACTTTAACTTCTAACCGGAGTACATTTTTCTTTTTGTTCGTATGAAAGTTTGCCACTTTCCATTTTTTTCATTCTCTACTTCCATTCGTTCTAAAATAGAGGCGTGGGTAGGAGCAGAGTTCACCTGCAGTTAAAAGATCTGTTAGTTCATATGAAGCCAGCCAACACCCCAGCTTATCTGAGGTCAGCGCACTCACACACCTACTTTATATTTCCTCATTATTGAGTTTCCTAGGCGACTGATAAATAACGGAGCCCAAACAATGACCTCATCCCTTCCAAAAGGCAGGCCCTGAATTAACCGCCTGACTTCTGGAGAGACCAGTGTTCACATGGGGTCACGGATACTCCTTTTATGTACAAAACAGACACATTCTGGGAAGGCTCTCTATGAAGGGAAAAGCAGGGTTTCCAACCTGCGTTTTCTGCCGACTTCCATTCGAACGGAAGACGTGTGTCTGTGGAGGGGGACGCTGGTGGCGTGTCTCTGTGTGACGGGCACCATGCTTGGCACCCCAATATCTCACAGCCAGCCCTCGTGAAAGAGGCTCCATGACTTCGTTTTAGAGATGAGAAGTGGGCTGAGAAAGAGGAATAACGTGCCCAGCGCTGAACAGGAAGCAGCTGAGCCGGCACAGAACGAGAAGGCTCTTCCCTGGTGCTCCGCACCCTGGGCTGCTCCCCGGAGCTGCTGGGGAGAAGCGGAGAGGAGGGAGGAGCTGCCCCCCTGGCCTCCGCCCTGCTCTCCCCGCAGCGCTGGAGCGCAGCCCCTACGGACGGACGGACGGACGTGGGCCCAGGGCCCGGGCCTCCCGCCTGCTCGGCTGCTGCCCGTAATGACTGCATAGTATTTCTTGGATGAGTGGTGCCGTGCAATTTACTCAGCCATTCTTTGATCAGAGCTAACGTTATTTCTTTAGCTAATTATACATGCTTCCCCTTTCGTGAGCCCTCTGAGCTTCGGTCCAAGGTAGACAAAGCGAACTCGGCGCCATTCGTAAGGTTAAAACCTTGCTGATTCCGACCTGCCGGACAGGGTTGTCTTCTGTTTTAAATCAGCGCTACTTTTTGTCATAATGTTTTCTAAGAAAGCGTGAAAAACTTAAAGGTTTAGCATAAAAAAAGAAGAGAGAAAAAAAGAGGAGGAGCAAAAAGGACAGAAACTCTTTGGGGGGAGGGGACGCACTGCTGTAGGCCTGGGTGTTCAGAAAGAGGCCAGGGTTCAGGAAGATTCCTGGAGACCCAGGAAATAGGGCGCAGCCGGCCTGAGTAGGTTGCACAGCCCGTACTGTTGCCGGGGAGGCAGGGAGACCCAGACCCGGGTAGAAAGCACCTTGCTCACGGAGTCATCAGAAAAGCCGGGATTTTTTTTTTTTTTTTTTTTTTTAAGATATGTTAGTTTTTTTCTTTTCTTTCTTTCTTATTTCTTTCTTTTTTTTTTTTTTAATATATTTTATTGGTTTTTCACAGAAAGGAAGGGAGAGAGATAGAGAGTAAGAAACATCAATCAGCTGCCTCTTGCACACCCCTACTGGGAATGTGCCATAACCGAGGTACATGCCCTTGACTGGAATCGAACCTGGGACCCTTCAGTCTGCAGGCCGAAGCTCTATCCACTGAGCCAAACCGGTTATGGCTAGACATGTTAGTTTTTAAACGTTAGGCTGTTTGTACAGAAGTGCTGAGGTGTTGCAGCTGTAGCAATTACCCATAACTCCTGGCAATTACCCATAAATCCTGGCAAACCAGCGTCGGGGTGGAGGGCAGGAGGAGGGGAACAGGCCCAGGAGGAACCAAAGTCTGTTCCTGCCGCTCCCCTGGGCTCCACCCCACGACAGGCAGCCCCTCGCCTTCATCTCAGCGGCCCTGTCCTTCCCCCACGAGAAACCACACATTCTGGGCTTGCCCCAGCCCCCTTCTGCGGGAGTGCCCAGCCCATCGCTGCCCCGGGTCTCCTCAGCCCTCTGATCTTGCTCGTGGAACCCTCTCTGTCCTGGGAACTTTGTCTCCACCTGCTATCACCTCTTGCTTTGAGCTGGCCCAGAAGTGACAGCCTGTTCTTGTCCTCCGGGGACCTTGGTCCCTCCGGAATGTATTGTTTCAGCTCCAGGGACCCGGGTGTCCTGCCCCGGGCTCCCCAGCAGGGGGTGGGCTTCACCGGCCTCAGGAGAGAACCAGGCAACGGGGCAGGGCTGGTGTGTGAACCTGTCCGCGTGCCCAGCTTGTGAGAATCCTGATCGTTGCCCTTTTTTTTCTTTTTTCTTTTTTTAAAAATATTTTATTGATTTTTCACAGAGAGGAAGAGAGAGGGATAGAGAGTTAGAAACATTGATGAGAGAGAATCATCCATTAGCTGCCTCCTGCACACCCCCCGACTGGGGATGTGCCTGCAACCAAGGTACATGCCCTTGACCGGAATCGAACCCGGAATCTTCCAGTCCGCAGGCTGATGCTCTCTCCACAGAGCCAAACCGGTTTTGGCTGATGGTTGCCCATTTCTAGCAGGTACGTTGGAGCTAAAGTTTGGCGTTGAGCCAGGGCCTTTGGAGGGCATTGAGAGCCCTGTCTCCCTTCGCCCGGCCTGCACTGTCCATGGAGGAGGGGGAGTAGGATGCCCCTCGCCTTGACTTCTCCTCTGACCTCTGCCGGCAGGAGGTCCTGCACATAGGAAGCGCCCACAACCGGAGCGCCATGCCCTTCACCGCCTCGCCCGCCTCCGGCTCCGCCCCCCGGGTCATCACCAACCAGTACAACAACCCCTCCGGCCTCTACTCCTCCGAGAACATCTCCAGCTTCAACAGCGCCTTGGAGGCCAAGACGGCGGCCAGCGGGCCGGAGACGAACGGCAGAGGGTGAGTGGGCGCCCGATTCTCCGCCGGGCGGGGCCCGGGCTGGCAGGCAGGGGGCGGCAGGGGGAGCCGCTGGGGCCAGGAGAAGGAGGTCTACGTCAGGATGGCTCTTCCTGCCTCCACTCTCCTCCTCTCTGTAAAGGAGGAGATGCCACCTGCCTCGTAGGGTTGTTACAAAATGCCCGGTATTGTGTCTGGTTCGGAGGAATCAACTGCTCGCTGAGGTCTACGTTGTGGTCTTGATATCTCTGGCCACGCTTCCCCCCTGGCAACGCCGCTGCTTCCTGAGAAATCGTTCAGATTTACCGTAGATCCCAGATCTGCCGTGTTCACCGTCCAGTCCGAGCAAAGGAAAAGGGCCCGTGTTGGTTTGCCTTTTCCCTGAACAGCCAGTCGACACGATAGAAAGGAGAGAAGTCTGTGAGGATGTAAACGTGTGAGGACACAAAGATTTGCCTGGGGCAGGGGTGGGCGGCAGGGGTGCAGCCTGGGGCGGTCATAGGAAGCGTCTTGCTCAGGCCTGGGGAGGCGTGTCTCCTCCTGTCACTGACCATTGGGCCACAGCTGCCTCTCTGTTCAGCAGAGCGGGCCCAGGGTCTGCTCCATCCCAGTCTCTGAGGATGAATCCAAACACTGGGGACACCACAGATGGTGGCAAAGAGCTGGGTTTGAGGATGGAGAGTGAGAGATGGGACCGGTTTGCTGGGGGTGAGAGGGCGGTGGGCCACGTCGCCAGTTGCCATATCAAATGCCCAAAGGTGGCAGAGGCGGTGCGGGCACGAGGGCAGAGCTGTGGTGCCCACGGGAGCAGAGCGCCCGAGGCAGCTGGCCCGGGCACGCCCCATCCTGAGGGGAACTGCTCCTCGGCTCCAGCCAGTGCCCCACATGCTGGCCTCGGAGCCTCACTTTTGCTGATGAATCGCATTGAAACCCAAGTCTGAATGCCTCTTTTTTATCTGAAACTTCCTGACCGTTAATATTGGTGCCAGTCACATTTGTTGGGAAATGTGTGTGGCCCAAACTTGTCTGATCTCTGACGATTGAGCGGAATCAGCATTCTGTGTTAGCTCTGAACCCATTTTGTTGTTCAGTATCTCCCCATTTCACTTTTTTGAAAAACATATGTATATATTTTATTGATTTTTTTTACAGACAGGAAGGAAGAGGGATACAGAGTTAGAAACATCAATGAGAGAGAAACATCGATCAGCTGCCTCCTGCACGTCCCTTACTGGGGATGTGCCCGCAACCAAGGTACATGCCCTTGACCGGAATCGAACTTGGGACCTTTCAATCCGCAGGCCGACGCTCTATCCACTGAGCCAAACTAATCAGGGCCCCATTTCATCTTTAATAAGAATCTTCCCAGCTCTGAGGGTGATTAAATTGCCAGTCCAGCCAAGACCGGTTTGGCCCAGTGGATAGAGCGTCGGTCTGCGGTCTCAAAGGTCCCAGGTTCGATTCCGGTCAAGGGCTTGTACCTTGGTTGCGGGCACATCCCCGGTAGGGGTTGTGCAGGAGGCAGCTGGTCAATGTTTCTCTCCCATCGATGTTTCTAGCTCTCTATCCCTCTCCCTTCCTCTCTGTAAAAATCAATAAGATATATTTTTTTAAAAATTGCCAGTCCAGTGCCTCAGATGTCGGGGAGGAGAGGTTAAGGCACAAGAGGTTCCAAGTGACTTCAGTGTTTGGAGAGGGCTGTTGTGGGGCCTCTGAGGACTCCATGGCCGGGTCGTCCGCATGGTCCCCCTTCTCGGAAGAAGACCCAGATGCTGTTGGGCAGCCACTGAGTGAGGTGGCCCCGGCCCGGCCCCGGGAGGCACTGCCATTTCCTTCCCGGTGTCTCAGCGTCCAGCAGGGGGACTTGGCTGGGTGACGGTGGCGTTACAAGCTGCCCCTGCAGTCATTGCAGCAGCCAAGGCAGAATGGCCACTGATGCGTCTTCCCCGGGTTCTGATTCCTGCCGTGCCTGCTGGCTTGAGATGATGATGTCCTTCGGGGTGGCTGGGGGAGCTTTGGGGGTGATGGAGAGCATGCTGGGCCGCCCCGGCTTGCCACTCGCGCACTCTGAAGGCGGCTTTCTCTCCGGCAGCGCGGGGGGAGCGGAGTGGTGGGAACTCCCTGGCCGCGGTGCCTGTGCTTGGCGGCCTCGGTGCTGGGGGAGGCTGAGAACGTGACCTTCTGTCACTGTCCCCGCGTGGAATGTTCCCTGCTCCGGAGTCCGTAACCCAGGAAATGACACATCCTCATTGAAAAAGAGCTGCTGTGCACGGGGAGGACTATGTGCCCGGAGGTGTTTTTAGTGCAGCTCCGGCCGTTATTCCTTCGTTAATGTCTTCTTTCCCCCCCCCCCCCCCCATGCTCCCCGCCGGCTCCCTCCCTCCCTCCATCTGAAACAATTATGTCTGAGACTGTCTGGACACTGTGCAAGCCTTTCCCCCAGCCCCCGTCCCCCCGTCCCCCCGTCCCCCTGCCCCGGGTCCAAGGCTTGCTGGCTGCCGTGGCCTCGGAGTCTTCATCCAAAGTCTCCTTTCAGATTTCCTCAGCAGAGGGCCAGGTCTGCTCCATCCCGGGCTCTGAGGATGAATCCAGGAGCCCACGGCCAGAAAGCACCGGACAGGCTGATGCCAGAGCCGCCCCTGTGGGCCCCCAGCAAAGGAAGGCGCCCCTCGCTTTCTCCCTCGGAGGAGCCCCCTCTCCCCCCTTTAGTCTGTGTAGTCTGTGAAATCCCGAGGCTCCAGAATTGCTCGCTTCATACTTGGCCTCTGAGGTCATCCCTGACCCCTTGGGGCTGACTCGGCGTGTCTTTGTCCAGCGCCCTTCAGAGGGGCCTGGTGTGTGTGTGTGTGTGGGGGGGGGGCGGGGGGGCTGTCTTGTAGGACTTCCCAGGGCCACGTCCCCGTCAGACAAGAACACAGACGGCGCTGTCATTTCCCAGTTTATTAACTGGGAAGGTGGGCGTGGGGCAGGGGGGCCGTCGGTCCTCCCAGCTCACAGGTAGCTGTGTGGGCGGGCCGCTGGAGCCGTGCAGTTGAACAGTCACGTAGTCGAACAGCCTCCTGTGTACCTGCGGGCGCAGGACATACTGCTCTGTGCAGCGCTCAGCTCTCACCTGCCGTCTGGCCTCCAGGCACTGAGTTTAGGGGCTGTACGGTCACTTTTTGATGATTCGGGGGCTAGATTTCATTATCTATAATATGTGTGTCCTGGGAACGTCCGTCCCGAGAAGTCATTTGGTCTGGCCCTGCCAAGGCATGAGGGGTGAGCATAGTCAATGTTTGACCAAATATAAAAGGCGCCAGGACCAGTTTGGCTCAGTGGATGGAGCATCTGCCTGCGGACTGAAAGGTCCCGGGTTCGATTCCGGACAAGGGCATGTACCTTGGTTGCGGGCACATCCCCAATAGGGGGTGTGCAAGAGGCAGCTGACCGATGATTCTCTCTCATCGATGTTTCTAACTCTATCCCTCTCTCTTCCTCTCTGAAAAATTAATAAAATCTATTAAAATATATATATATATATGTGTGTGTGTGTGTGTGTGTGTGTGTGTGTGTATATATATATATATATATATAAAACGCTAGTTTTTTTAAGTCGGTAATTTTGTATGGCTTGAGAATTACGTTATAAATACTCAAGTGGCTTCTGGCAGAAAAAAGGTTCCCCACCCCCAATCTGTGAGACGGTGCTCGATACTCTCCTGAAGGTACAGGCTGTGTAGATAGCGGGGCCTGGGCTCCGGTTCCAGCTCTGCCTCTGACTAGCGGGGAGACCGCGGGCAAACCAGAAAGCCTTCCGGAAACTTGGTCCTCTCCCCGCGAAGTGCGGGTAACACGCACTGCCCCCCAGCTGCTGAGAGAACAAAATGAGATGCGTGAAGGCGCTCCCGTTGGAGCCTGGCCCCTGGCGGGTGCTCGGTGACTACTGATCTCAGTGCCGGTGAGGAGCCCACGCCCTTCCTCAGAGCACAGGGCTTCCCCAGAGGAGCAGACGCTTGTCGACGGGCGTCACCGACAAGTCCCCTTCTGCTGTGGCTTCCGAGAAGCTTCTTTCTTTCTTTTTTTCTGTCTGTCTGTCTTTCTGTCTTTCTTTCTGTCTTTTTTTTTTTAAATATTTTTTATTGATTTTTTACAGAGAGGAAGGGAGAGGGATAGAGAGCTAGAAACATCAATGAGAGAGAATCATCGATCAGCTGCCTCTTGCACACCCCCTACTAGGGATGTGCTTGCAACCAAGGTACATGCCCTTGACCGGAATCGAACCTGGGACCTTTCCGTCCGCAGACCGTCACCCTATCCACTGAGCCAAACCGGTTTCGGCACGAGAAGCTTCTTTCTTTCCCAGCATCGCAGCTTACGTTCAGCTAACCCCTGCGGCCGGTCACCGTCCTGTGACCGTCCTGTGTACCGGTGGCCCCTTCGTGAAGTCATCGGTTGGGTTCCCATCACCAACACGACGGTCTCAAGATACTAGTTTCAAATTGTTTTCAGGCAGCCCTGCCAGGTACTCACCGGGCGGGTTTCTGAGCAGGTGCAGGGGAATTATGAGATGCGTTGTTCTGTCCAGAGGATGGGAGGGGTTACGTGAGGCCTGACTCACTGGGAGCCGGACCAGGAGGGAGCTCCGTCGGGAGATGGCTGGTGGCCCCTCCAGCTACACTGCCCGCAGCCACGGAGACTGGCCGAGTCTGGGTGCTCCTCCCCCTTCTCCCGGCCCGTAATTACTCCTCTGGTTTCTGATTACAGGCCCAGCATCCAGGCCTTTGAAGACTAAAACGGAGGGAGCATTCTGGCCAGGCTCCCCTCCTATACATGAATTGCGTTTTTTGTGATCATTGGGTACCAGGGCGTCTCCGACGTGAGGATTTATCCGCATCAGTGTACCTTCTTGACCCGAACCTGCATGGAAACAGGCTCTAAACCTTCCAGTGAGCACTCTGGGGGGCAGTTAGTATCATCTGCACATCGTTTGGGGAAAGGATTCTTAAAATGAGTTAGACTTTTTATTTTGACGTAATTCACTTGGCAGTTACAGGAGATAACAGCGAGGACCCCTGTCCCTTTACCCAGTTCCCCTCCATGGCAACGTCTTGAAAACCAGAGCACAACAAAACTACACTGCAGACATGAATGTGGTCAAGACAGAACATGCCCATCCTCCGGCTGCTCTTCACAGCCACACCTACTTCCCTCCTATCCCTGCACCCTCCCTACCTCACCCCACCACTCATCTGCTCTCCATTTGTCCTTTTGTTAGCTCAAGAGTGTTATACTGATGGAATCCTGTAGTTTGTAACTTTCAGGGGTTGGCTTTTTTTTTTAAATTATTATTATTACTCGGCATGATTCATTGGAGGTTTATTTCATTTCTTGAGATTAAAAAAAATTAAATATATACATATATATATATATATATATATATATTATTGATTTTAGAGAGAAAGGGAAAGGGAGAGAGAGAGATACATACATCAGTGATGAGAGAGAATCACTGATTGGCTGCCTCCTGTACACCCCCTGATGGAGCCCAGCACCCCCCCAGGCATGCGCCCTGGACTGGAATCGAATCCGGGACCCCTCAGTCCGCAGGCCGATGCTTTATCCACTAGGCCAAATCAGCTAGGGCTCTTGAGATTTTTGACATGTATCATTAGTTCTTTTTTTTTTTTTTTTTTTTCTGTTCTAAGAACTTATCTTTTTTTATTGTTTAGTTTAAAACACATAGTGTAACATATATCATCTAAACCATTTAAAAAACATGTTTTTATTGGAGAGAGGGGGAAGGAAGAGGGAGGTCAACGTTGATCAGCTGCCTCCTGCATGCCCCCTGGAGGGGATTGAGCCTGAAACCACAGGCACATGCCCTGACCGGGAATTGAACTCTGGACCTCTTTCCTGGTTCATGGGTCAGTGCTCAACCACTGAGCAACACCGGCTGGGCAGGGTGGACATTTTATTGGGCGTTTTAATAACAGTAACTCTCCCTTCCCATGAACCTGGACGCCTTTCCACTGACTTGCGTCTCTGCAGTGCCGATCCAGCTCCCAGAGGCAGGCTGTTCTCTGTCCTCCCTGACACTCCGACCTTCCCCCCAGCTGCTCCTGTGGCTGGAGCAGGCCCGTGTGTGTCACGTAAGGCTGTAGCTGAGGCCTCTGGAATCTTCCTCTGGGAGCCAGCTCAAGGGAGTTTCCTCTTACATCCTCAATACCTCTGGCATCCTCAAACGCCTGGCTGTGCCCGCCACCCACAGGCCGGGCGTGGCCTGTCCGTGAGGCCGCTGGGGAGACAGGCCCCATGGTCAGAGCCCGAAAGAGGAGGAGAAAATACCAAACGTGTAGGTAACGAAATGCACCAAACATGACTCGGCACCACATGTGACTCGGGAAGAAACGAGGGCGAGGAAACACTGCCGTAATGTGCAGTTACTCCGAAGTTTGTTAAACTCTTGTGTGTGGCTCCTACGATTGGGAAGATGGGGTTTAGAAGTGGTGACTCTTGGCATCTCGCCCTTACAAGTTTTCTTTCCTCCTGGTGACTCGGCCATGCATATGATATTTTTTGAAACCTTATCACTATAGAATTCTTTCCTTCAATGCTGTTACTATATATAAAAGTGACTGAGCCTTTTTTTCTTCTTCTTCTTCTGCATTTCTAATGTGTATTTTTGTCCTAGAATTATTTTTTTAAGAAATGTGGAGTCATTTATGAATATCTCCCAGTCTGATGTATGTCTAAGAGTTAGGCTTTGTGTCTCAGGATGCTCTTTCTGAACTAGCTGTATATCCGCGCTTCCGATAAGGCAGTATATATTGGAAGTGCTTTATAAACTGTCAAGCGGTAGAAAGATACTACCGTTATTTGAGAAAAGCTGTACATTGTTTTCCCCATTTTTAATCCTGGGAATGCTTTGCAGGGCTGTTTGCTGGGAGAACATGCGATGACCTTGTGGTTTGGGTTCTGTCGTTTTTAGCGTTCCCTCGGCGGCTTCTGGAATATCCCAGACATAACAACATACACCCAAGGAGGGAGAAAATTCCCCCTAAGCACATTCCATGGCCTGATCTGGATTTTAAAATAGTTCCAAGTGTAAGAGGAAAAAAGATTCACCAGCAATAATAGAATGCATTTATTGTAGGGCAAGCTCAGCCCTCGGGACCCAGAGAAAGAGTGAGGCCTAGGACGGGGCCCTCGGCGCTGAGGAGGTGGGCCGGAGGAAATGTGGCTCCTGGTTAATTAACACTCATTCCTCAGGGGGCCCTTGGCCAGCCCGGAGGCTCCCACAGCTCCCTGCGGGTGGGAGGGACAGACAAAGGCGGGGACCATGGCAGCCAGCAGGAGGGACCCTCTGAGGAGTCTTTCTTGAATTTTGACCTGGCCTGGCATCAGCAAAGCACATGTCATTGCTTGAGGGTTTCGTCCTCTATCGTGAGAGCCTGACTGTAGCCAAAGTGGAAACCGGGGGTTGCATTGGTGCAAGTGACGCTGCTTCATGACGCTGCTTCCAGCCGGACAGGAGCTTAGCCGGTGCCCCAGGAGGCGCACGGATGAGGGAGGGAGGGGGTAGAAGGGGAGGTCACCTGGGGCGAATGGCCCAGGAAACACACACCTCTGTTTCCTTTTTATTTTATTTTTAAAATATATTTTATTGACTTTCTACAGAGAGGAAGAGAGAGGGATAGACAGCCAGAAACATCGCTGAGAGAGAAACATTGACCAGCTGCCTCCTGCACACCCTCTACCGGGGATGTGCCCGCAACCAAGGTACATGTCCTTGACCGGAATCGAACCCGGGACCTTTCACTCCGCAGGCTGATGCTCTGTCCACTGAGCCAAACCAGTTTTGGCTCCATTTCCTTTTTAAAATGGGATGTGAACTAACTGCTCCATGGGTAGGAAGTGAGTGATAGAACATCATCACGGTAATTCATTTGCACGCATAACCGTGGCCTCAGCCCTCAGGATGAGGTGGTTAGATTCGCGGAGGAACTGCTGGAGCCGCTGCTGCGCCCGCCGCCTCCTTACCCGGAGGCAGCCTGCGGGCCGGGTGGCATCGTGGTGTGGTCGTTACTCACACACGGCACCTGCGCGCACCCTTGGCGCGCGGGGAGATCGCACCACCTGCTGGTGTCTGCTCTTGGTGCTCCGGGCACACTGTCCCTCTCCCCTAGGCGTGGGCAGCTTCTGAGAAAGCATCTGAGAAAGCATCTGAGAAAGCTTCAGAGGCAGGAGGTGATCTGGACCGGGAGGCTGGGCTGCCCCTTCCCCCGACCCCGCCCCGGGAGCCGTGGTGGTCGGCAAACTGTGGCTCTTTGGCCCCCTGAGTGTGGCTCTTCCACAAAATACCGCGGCCTGGGCGAGTCTGTTGTGGAGAAGTGGCGTTGGGAGAAGTTTAAGTTGAAAACATTTGGCTCTCCAAGGAAAGTGCCTCCCCGGAAAACGGGCCCCGCCTGTCTCATCCCGTCTGGAAGCCTCGGCCCCTCCGTGCAGCAGGACAGAACTTGGCAGTTGACAAAGCACTTGGGTTTTTCATCCTCGGGGCCAGCCCTGTGGGCGGGGCGGGCAGATGCTGTCCTCCTGGGCGGTGGGCGAGGAGACGGACGAGGGTTCGGAGAGGCAGCGAGCCGGCTGCTGTCCTCAGGAGCCCGGGCGCTGCGATCCCGTGTGAGGGGGCACGTGGCCTGGGCTCGGGGGACCCCGCTGGGGTTTCGTGGTCAGGTCGTGGCTGACATTTCCCCGTTTCTAAATTTTCTTTTGGCATAATGCTGTTTATGTAATTTAGAGAGAAGCAAAACATTCCCATTCCATGGGATTAGGCCAACCTGTAATTGAGCGGCTAAAACTCTTTTGAAAAATAGCTGCTGGCGGCATTGCAGCAGCAGCCAGCTCTGGCTCCGGGCCCCTCGCAGTGTGGGCAGGAGGCCGCCTTCCGCAGGATGGGGTGCCCCCACCCTTTGGTTTGGGGGTGTCCTCCCTTGGAAGGGGGTGCCTGGTGAGTTGTTGTGTGTGTGTGTGTGTGTGTGTGTTTTTTAACTTCTGACATGTCTTAATGAATTTCCAAACATTCCTTGCAGCTCAGAGCATTCTCCGTCTCCAAGCGGACTCGTCATCGACAAGGAATCCGAAGTTTACAAGATGCTTCAGGAGAAGCAGGAGTTAAACGAGCCCCCGAAGCAGTCCACGTCCTTCCTGGTGCTGCAGGAGATCCTGGAAGGTAAGCGGCTCGCTCTGCGGGCGGCCGGAGGCTCCTGCTCGAGGCCGGGCTGAGGGCCGGTCACCCAGGCGCTGTGCACTCAGAGGGGACTGCAGGGTCCCCCGCCCCACTGTGGAAAGAGCACAGTGTGCTTTGCAAAGCGTGACTTTTAAGATCCTAGAAGCTGGGAGAGGGGAAAGAGGGAGAGAGAGAAAGAGTGAATGAATATGAAGGAGCTCCCGCCACACCTGGCCCAGCTGTGTCCTGCCACAGGAGCGTAAGGAGTCAGCGTTAGGGGTCTGTGTGCTGCATCGGGAACCCCTGATGAGGGCTACCGTCATTCAAGAGGCTCCGGTTGGCAGAGCAGCACCTCACGGTAGACAAAACTTGCCCCCTGGACCCGCTGATAGACCTCCGAGCCCCCGTTTCCGCCTGGCGGGAACAGCACGTGGTCAGGTGCAGGTCACTGAGGTCCCCCCGGGCTGCAGCAGGATTCGTGATCACTCCAAAGGCTTGAAACGGGGTGTCTCTTTGTGAAGTGTACGGTTCAGAGGCATTCGGTACATTCACACCGTGCTGCAGGCACCCCCAGGCATCCCAGAACGCGTCATCCTGCAGAGCTGAAACTCTGTGCCCACATAACACTCACTCCCCGGTGCCTGGCAGCCACCATTGTGCCGTCTGGTTCCGTGGCTGTCTCGGGTGTTTCACATGAATGGAGTCAGACCACACTGGTCGTTCCGTGACTGGCTTATTTCACTCAGCACAGTGGTTCTCAACCTTCCTAACACCGCGACCCTTTCATACAGTTCCTCATGTTGTGGTGACCCCCAACCGTAAAATCATTTCCGTTGCTACTTCATATCTGTAATTTTGCTACTGTTAATGAATCATAATGTACATATCTGTGTTTTCCGATGGTCTTAGGCCAGTGGTCAACAAACTCATTAGTCAACAGAGCCGCAAACTGCGGCTTGCGAGCTGCATGTGGCTCTGGAGCCACTGTTTGCCGATTACTATTTTAGGTGACCCTGCTAGGTAACCTGTCACAACCCACAGGTTGAGAACCGCTGCTGTAGAGCCTAAGACCATAGGAAAGCACAAATATTTACATTACGATTCATAACAGTAGCAAAATTACAGTTATGAAGTAGCAACGAAAATATTTTTTTTTTGGTTGGGGGTCACCACAACATGAGGAACTGTATTAAAGGGTTGCGGCATTAGGAAGGTTGAGGACCACTTACTTAGCATAATGTCCTTAAGGTTCACTCATGTTGTAGCTTGCGTTAGAAGGACCTTTTCTCTTTCTTATTATTATTCTTTTTAAAAAGTATATTTTTAGCCAAAACCGGTTTGGCTCAGTGGATAGAGCGTCGGCCTGCGGACTCAAGGGTCCCGGGTTCAATTCTGGTCAAGGGCATGTACCTTGGTTTTGGACACATCCCCGGTGGGGGGTGTGCAGGAGGTGGCTGGTTGATATTTCTCTCTCATCGACGTTTCTAGCTCTCTATCACTCTCCCTTCCTCTCTGTAAAAAATCAATAAAATAAATATATATATATATATTTTTTTAAAGTATATTTTTATTGATTTCAGAGAGGGAAGGAGAGGGAGAAAGAGATAGAAACAGCATGCCCCTTACTGGGGATGGAGCCCACACCCAGGCCGGTGCCCTGACTGGGAATGGACCTCCTGAGTCATAGGTTGATGCTCAACCTCTGAGCTAAGCTGGCTGGGCCAGAAGGTCCTTTCATTTTAAGGCTGAACAGTATGATATGTGCATACCCCCTCTTGTTTGTCCACTTACTGGTCTGTTAAAGGAGGTTTTTAACGAGAGAGAATTTGTAAGGAGACGCCATGGGTTGAGACAACACAGCGAAATCACAGAGGTTCTGAGATGGGAAACCTGGACCTGCTCATTAAGTATCGAGGCTCATCATGGCAGATGCCCGGGGTCCCAGGAGAACCGAGTCAGATCGTGGAGATCGCCAGGTGCCATGTTAGGGGCCAGGAATTGGACTCTATCAGACCCCAGGGAGCCACAGTCAGCAGTGAGATGGATAAAAAAGGAAGCTGGGCGTTATTCAACTCATTTTCGTTTGTTTCTTCAGAAAGCTTTGAAAGTCAAGGCTCCCTGAAAGAATGAAGTTTTGGGAATGTTGGTAGTTGCCCAGAGTGCTAAGGGAGCTGGTATTTAAAAATATATATATATATTTTTAAGAGAGGAAGAGGGAGAGATAGAGAGCCAGAAACACCGATGAGAATCATCAATCAGCTGCCTCATGCACACCCCCCACCGGGGATGTGCCCGCAACCAGTGCACACGCCCCTGACCAGAATTGAACCTGGGACCCTCCAGTCCGCAGGCCGATGCTCTATCCAATGAGCCAAGCTAGTTTCAGTGTGAGCTGGTATTTTTACTGTAAGTCCTTTCAGAGGGGAGTACAATGAACTTGAGTCTGCAGAGTTGGCTGAATAAAAGAGAGATTAAAACTCGCATCAGCAGGTGGCGCTGCAGAGCTGAACAGGCTGCAGCTGGGATGGATTTATCCAACTGCCCTGGCAGGTGCCCAAAGTTGAATGTACTTCTTACTGCCCAAAGGCGTGTGGATTCCCCGCCTAGTAGGAGGCTCTGGTGCTCCCGCTTCCTTCTCTCCTCTAGCTTCTTGAGTTAAAGCATGTTGGACTGAGGTAGAGACCATCATGCATTTGTCACGACATCTCACCTTTCATTCCTAGGTACTTACTGAGCCTCTGTTATTTGCTAAGCCTCATGCTAGGCTCCGTGGGATATTGAAAAATACATAAAACCCGCCAAAACCGGTTTGGCTCAGCGGTAGAGCGTCGATCTGCGGACTGAAAGGTCCCAGGTTCGATTCCGGTCAAGGGCATGTACATTGGTTGCGGGCACGATGTTTCTCTCTCATCGACATTTCTAGCTCTCTAGCTCTCTCTCTTTCTCTCTGTAAAAAATCAATAAAATATATATTTAAAAAAAAAGAAAAAGAAAAATACATAAAACCCGGTCCTAGTGACCTATTAATTTGCAAACTGGACAGAGACATGTTGATAGCCAGTGAGCATAACCATACAACTAGGCCAGCCGAAACCTGTTTGGCTCAGTGGAGAGAGCACCGGCCTGCGGACTGAAGGGTCTCAGGTTCAATTCCGGTCAAGGGCATGTACTTGGTTGTGGGCGCATCCCCAGTGGGGGGTGTGCAGGAGGCAGCTGATGAGTGTTTCTCTCTCATCGATGTTTCTAACTATTCCTCTCCCTTCCTCTCTGTAAAAAAAAATCAATAAAATATATTAAAAACAAGCAAACAAACAAAACAAACAAAAAAAAAAACAATACAACTAGGCCACAGCAGAGTAGAAAATAGGTGATGTGGAAACATAGCCGGCCAAATATGTGGCAGTGACAGTAAAATTGGGAGCGTGCCGTTAACAGCTGCCGTGACATGGAGCTCTGAAGACGCGGTGAACGGGGCGGTGGTGGTGCCTGCACGAAGCTGAGCTCAGGAAGCTGCTTGCTGTGCTCGGGAGCAGGCGCTTTTCCTCCGGCTGCTTGTGTCGAGCGCGGCTGGAGTGTTCGTTGTGGCGAACTGGATTTTTTCACCCTTTATTTTATTTTATTTATTTATTTTTAATATATTTTATTGATTTTTTACAGAGAGGAAGAGAGAGAGCTAGAAACGTCGATGAGAGAGAATCATCGACCAGCTGCCTCTTGCACACCCCCTACCGGAACCAACGTACATGCCCCTGACCGGAATCGAACTTGAGACCTTTCAGTCCACAGACCTACGCTCTACCACTGAGCCAAACCGGTTTCAGCTTTTTCACCTTTTAAATACAGTTTTTGGATGATCAGATAACGTGTTTTGTTGTAGGTTTGGTTTTTTTTTTTTTAATTCTTTCTAAGGCATTTTATTTTTTTAAGTTGTTTTTTTATTTTATTGATTTTTTTACAGAGAGGAACAGAGAGTTAGAAACATCAATGAGAGAGAAACACCCATCAGCTGCCTCCTGCACGCCCCCCACTGGGGATGTGCCCGCAACCAAGGTACATGCCCTTGACTGGAATTGATCCCGGGACCCTTCAGTCCACAGGCTGACGCTCTATCCCACATGTGTCAAACACAAGGCCCGCGGGCCAAATCCGTCCCGCCAGGCCTTGCAATGTGGCCCGCACCGCACTGTCATCACTGCACTCTGCTGCATTTCCATCACAATGACAGTTTATGACTGTTCAGTAAACCATTCGGCCCGCGATTTAGGCTGGATTTTAGATTTTGGCCCCTTCTCTGATTGAGTTCGACACCCCTACAGTCTATCCTCTGAGCCAAACTGGTTTTATTTATTTATTTATTTTTATTTTTAAAATATATTTTATTGATTTTGTACAGATAGGAAGGGAGAGAGAGAGAGAGTTAGAAACATCGATGAGAGAAAGTCATCGATTAGCTGCCTCTTGCACACCCCCTACTGGGGATATGCCCGCAACCAAGATACATGCCCTTGACCGGAATCAAACCTGGGACCCTTCAGTCCCCAAGCCGACGCTCTATCCATTGAACCAAACCGGTTTTGGCCCAAACTGGTTTTAGCTTTCTAAGACATTTTAAAGTACCCCTATCACTGTTTGCATGTATTTAATCAGAATGGAACGTGTGTGGTGAGGGCTGACCCCATGACAGGTACGGTGGGAGGGCTTTCTGTGCATGGTAAAGCCTTTCTGTGACCCTGTGAAAGAAAACAACAGCAAAAGGAATCTGTTTAATAAAAGGAAACTGGGAAGCTGAGAAATAAGTGCCCGCCCCACCCAGGATGGCAGTCCGGTCTGCTTGTCTCCATTGCCCGTGACCGTGCTGGGACACGTGGATACATGGCTCTGAGAGAACCGAGGGGTGCTTATGCGATCCTGCCCTTCCCAGCCAACCCACCTGTGTTCCTCCTTGTAGGGGACCCCAACAAGCCCTCGGGATTCAGAAGCGTGAAAGCGCCGGTCACCAAAGTGGCTGCCTCGATCGGAAACGCCCAGAAGTTGCCCATGTGTGACAAGTGCGGCACCGGCATCGTGTGAGTATCTGCCCTCCCCGGGAGGGCACGGGGGCCCCGCACGTTGATGAGCCGGGACAGCGTGGGCAGTGCTGACGTTGCACGTGCTGGGTGTGGTGGGAAGAAGAGAGACGCTCCCTGGATGCCGAGCGGAGGGGCAGGGAGGTTCTGTGCCCCGGGGCCAGGCGCCCACGGTCTTCCTGGGCCAGAGACCCCTGAGGGTGTGAACCGATAAAACCAGGAGAAGCCCTCGCTGGTGTGGCTCCGTGGATCGCACGTCGGCCTGTGGACTGAAGGGTCCCGGGTTCGATTCCCGCCAAGGGCACATGTCCGAGTTGCAGGCTTGATTTCCCAGGAAGGGGCGTGCAGGAGGCAGCAGCTGATCCATGATCCTCCCTCGTCATTGATGTTTCTATCTCCCTCTCCCTTTCTCTCTAAAAATCAATAAAAAAAAATATGTTTAAAAGCAAAACAAAACCGAAAAACAGAACTGGTGCCATGCTGTTGACATGGGAGAGACTTCTGGAAGGTGTTAGGAGTAACGTGTCTGGGCCCCGGGAATGGGGAGGCCTGACGGGCCTTTTGGGGGCGCCCCCGGCCCCGGGGCCGCCTCTCCGTGCCCGTCACTCACGGGGCCGCTTCCTCCCCGCCCCCTCCCGCAGCGGCGTGTTCGTGAAGCTGCGGGACCGCCACCGCCACCCCGAGTGCTACGTCTGCACCGACTGCGGCACGAACCTGAAGCAGAAGGGCCACTTCTTCGTGGAGGACCAGATCTACTGTGAAAAGCACGCCCGGGAGCGGGTCACCCCCCCGGAGGGCTACGACGTGGTCACCGTGTTCCCCGCCAAGTGAGCGGGCAGACGCGCCCGAACGCGGCCGGCCCGCCCGCCCGCCCTCCCTCTCTCCCTCCCTCCCTCCCTCCCTCGCTCCCTCCCTCGCTCCCTCGCTCCCTCGCTCCCACGGCCCCTCCGCGCCCCGCCCGCCCGCCCGCCCTCCCTCGCTCCCACGGCCCCTCCGCGCCCCGCCCCGCACCCGCCCTTCCTCCCTGTCCCCGCGCGCGCTGCGCGTCCCTGCCCGTACCCACGGGCTCCCCCGCCTCGGACGCTGCCTTTCTGTAGGGGAAGAGCCTTTGGTGCAGGGCCCCCTGCCAGCATCCTCTCTTCACCTCCGTCCGTCTCCGCGGCACACGGACGGCGGCCCGATCGGAAGCAAGCCGGACTGACTGTGTCTGCCCCTGGCTTTGTTTTTACTCAATAAACGTATGGACTCGAAGGCCGCAGGGTGTTCTTTATCGCGTGATCAGGCCGTGACGGGGAGCACGCTTCCTCCGTTTCTCGGTTTCGTTGACATCGGTAGTCTTTGAAGGTTAAGCCCCAGCCTCCCTCCTGTAGACGGGCTCCTCCGATGCCCACCAGGCCCAGGATGCCGCTCTGCGGTGCCCCGTAGCCGGGGCGCGCCTCCCTGGCACTAACCACTCGTCTCCTGAAAGGCGTGACGCCCCCACAGAGCTGACCCCCGGTCTCTCGCAGCTTTGGTATTCAGCGCTGAGCAGGGGGAGAGTCCTCACACGTTTGGTGAATTGCCCACGAAGGAATGCTCCATCGCTGTTCAGTAGAAATGGGATGCAAGCCACGGACGTAATTTAAAACTTTCTAGTAGTCACATTGTGGGGAAAAGCAGGTAAATTCATTTTGGTAATATGGTTTTTAGTGCTGTGTGTCCAAAGTATTACCGTTTCAGCATGTGCCCCTCACTGCTGTCCTGGACAACATCGCCTTAACCTCAAGCAAAGACTCCTTGGATTTCTGCTCCCGCTCCAGGTACCGCGTCCTCCTTCCTTGTTCCCAGGCGTCCACCACGCCTCTCCCAGCTGCCTCGCCCTCCGGCCTCCTCCGCGAGGGCTGCGGTTTGGAAGGCTCCTGCTGACTCCTGCTGATTTCTCCGGCCAAACCCAAGGAGCTCCTCTCGGTCCCTCTGCATCGCACACACTCAGAGGCATTTCCGTGGCTGCCCACCCAGGGCCCTGCTTTGCCTGGTGCTGAACTTCCTCGGGGACTTTCTGCTTCTCCTGGCTGCTGGGTCTCTAGCTGTCTCCCTGCCGAAGCCAGGGACGCCTCTCCCCAGGTGACGCCTTCCTCTGACCTCGGGTAAAGCAGCGTGACCGAAGTTTCAGGAGATCAAAGCAACGGGCCTTTTAAAGGATCTTCTCCACTTTTATTCTCTGTTGCCCCTGAGGCTGAGCATTATTTAAGTTTGAGCTGCACGATGCTGCTCTTCGCTGCTGGGCTTTTCCCCAGACGTCTGAGCTGTGCTGAGTTCCCCCACGGTGATGGGGCTCAGGAGCGTGGGAACAGTGGGGTGATGGTCTAAAGGGGGACAGGAAAGTATTGGGGAGGGGGGGGCATCCGGTCACTGCTTTCCAATCTCACTGGAAGTGTTTAGGACTGGCTTTCATGAATAACCACATTGGAGAGAAAGCGTATTTTTTAGACCCAATTTAAAAATATATATATTTTATTGATTTTCCACAGAGAGGAAGGGAGAGGGATAGAGAAATAGAAACATCGATGAGAGAGAAACGTCAACCAGCTGCCTCCTGCACACCCCCTACTGGGGATGTGCCCGAAACCAATGTACATGCCCTTGACTGGAATCGAACCTGGGACCTTTCAGTCCGCCGGTTAATGCTCTTTCCACTGAGCCAAACCGGTTTCGGCTAGACTCGATTTTTAAAGGCTATTGCAAAAATTACATTCTCTTCCCTTGTGGACACATAGGTCTGATGCTGAGTCTGAACATCTAATTTGGGAGGATAAATGAGAGTCCTGATAATCTTTAGGAACAATGATTAGGATCTACTCCCTATTTTCCCCATTGCCCTTGGCCTGCCTTCACCTCACCTGCACCCAGAATCACCGCAGGGAGGAGATATGTGGCTCAAACCAAACCAAGCTCCTTCCTCCCACTACAGGCTGTGCTCCCTGTGTTACACACCGCCTGACCCCCTCCCAGGCCTGGACAGGAGCCTCTGATTGCACCTAAGGCAGGTCACCCTTAGCCTCCAGGATTTCCTGCAAAAGCAGAGGGGCGTCTTGCATTCGCACAGCAGCAGAGGCCTGAGCTGGCTTCTGGCATGGTTTTCAGATTCCCGGTGGGGCGGGCGCAGAAAATGGGGAGAGCCTCCGGCAGCTGGCGGCAGTGGTGTAATCTGCAGGGGGTTCAAGGTAGCTGTGCTGGCTGTTGGTTTAGTTGGTGGTGAAATCTACCAGGTTTGTCTGCCAAGCAGGTAGCTGTGAGCTGCAGTCACCTCCGCGGTGGGGCTGCTGTGGGCAGCCCCTGCTTTACTTCCCTGTTCCCGGCCATCTCCGGGCGTCTCAGCCTGGCTGGGCTGGGTGGGCTGACTCTGAAGCAGGACCTGAAAGGGTGGAGAAGCCAGCGGGTCTTCCTGTCCTGCTGAGGGGAACTCTGTCTCGCTGGGGGTGCCCGCTTGTGCTGAACACAGCTGGCTTGGGGGATAGGAAGGTTTTTAACAGGCACTTCTAGGTCCTCTACCTGCCCACATGCCTGCAAAGTAGATCCTACACTCAAATATTCCCCCCTTTTTTTTTTTTTGGTTAAGGATTTTGATGGTCACCAAGAAAAGAGACTATGTGTCTTGGATTAACAGGCCAGTTTCCTTTTGAGCTCTAATTGAGGGTTTCAGGTAGAAACAACAACAACAATAATAATTAATAATAAATGCTGCTCCCTAACCTCCAATGTTCCTATCGTCTGGGGTAAGATGGGTTATCACAAACTCTCACAATCCTGAAGCTAGCTCATGTTTATGTAGAGGAGAGTTAAATTTTAAAAGTGTTTTCTACACCGGATGTTATGTTTAAAATTTCTTTAGATATAGGTGATTAGAACAAATCTTATATTTAAGGAAACAGACCCTTCAACTAGCAGCTGTAGTTGTGTGTTGTTGTTGTTTTGGGTTTTTTAAAAATATATTTTATTGATTTTTCACAGAGAGGAAGAGAGAGGGATAGAGAGTTAGAAACATCGATGAGAGAGAATCATCGATCAGCTAGCTGCCTCTTGCACACCCCTTTCTGGGGATGTGCCCGCAACCAAGGTACATGCCCTTGACTGGAATCAAACCTGGGACCTTTCAGTCCGCAGGCCGATGCTCTATCTACTGAGACAAACCAGTTTTGGCCGTTTTTTTAAATCTGCTCTCCACGACCAGAATTGTCTTAGGCAGTGTACATCGCTGTGGGATTGGGCAGCTGATGACTAAATTACTTTGAAATCAAGTTCTTTGAATCTCTGAACCCTGGCTAACTGAAATTCTAAAGATTACAGAGAAATAAACTTGTCTGAACTCTCACTTTTATTTATCCATGGTGAAATCATTGACGCAGAAATGGTTTAATTTTAAATCAAATATTTAATGCCAAAGTGAGACTGCAAGATAATTAATTACTCAGCAAATGTTTGTGAAATACAATTAAATTAAAATAATTTTCAACACAGAGTTTATAAGTTATAAATCCAGAGCTGGTGCTTTTACCTTGCCTTAGATGTGGAAACTTGGGTGAATTTCTTCAGTTCTAATTATAATTTCCTCATCTGTAAAATGAATAAAATTACCTGTCTTGTGGGTTGATTATGAGATTCAAATAATGAGATACAAAAGTACTTCATAAAATTCACAGAATTCTATAAATAAAAAGTTATTTTTTAATTAAAGCAATTTACTTTCTTCTAAAATACTTTAAGATTCTAGGTACTTACTTAAAAATCTAATAGTGGTTTTACAGAATGTTTTTATTATTTTTTAACATATTTTTATTGATTTCAGAGAGATAGAAACATCAGTGATAAGAGGGAATCATTGGTTGGCTGTGTCCTGCATGCCCCCTGTTGGGGATCGAGCTTGAACCCCTGGCATGTTCTCTGACCAGGAATCGAACCATGACCTGGTTTATCGGTCAATGCTCAACCACTGAGCATGCCAACCAGGCCAAAAGACTGTTTATAAAGTAGATCTCTTATGTGGTGTAAAGTAGAATTTTAATTTTATTAGATACTGATCCAAATGTATTATGTTCTTGTCTGTGAAATCTAGGTATGGTTGTCTTCCCAGATTGAGGTGTTTTTGAGGTAGTTAGTTCCCCACCCTCCTACTGTAGCTTGAATAGCAGGTAACTGCTTGTTAGACTTGCTCCTCTGTGGCTACAGAAGCTGTGGAGGGATGTTCTCTCTCTCAGGACCTCCCTGCTGGCTCCCTTGAGACTGACCCTTTCCGCTGCAGGACTGAGCACTCATCTCCACTGTGCAGGAGACTCCGACAGTGGAGTCCTGTGTTGGGTCCACACTCCATGGCTCCTGAGGTGGGAATTCTCTACCCACAGGCTGCTGTTGTATTGGTACTCATTTTTTCTTTTTTTTTTTAAATTTTTTTGCTGGCCGAAACTGGTTTGGCTCAGTGGTCGAGCGTCGGTCTGCAGACTGAAAGGTCCCAGGTTCGATTCCGGTCAAAGGCATGTACCTTGGTTGCGGGCACATCCTCAGTAGGGGGTGTGCAAGAGGCAGCCGATCGATGATTCTCTCTCATCGATATTTCTAACTTTCTATCCCTCTCTCTTCTTCTCTGTAAAAAATCAACAAAATATATATAAAAATATATTTTTGCTGATTTCAGAGAGGAAGGGAGAGATAGAAACATCAGTGATGAGAAAGGATCATTGATTGGCTACCTCTTGATACATTCCCTAATAGGGATCGTGCACTGGGCCTCTAGTTGCTTAATAAACTTATAAATTTCAGGTGTACAACTTTAATACAACATCTGTATAGTGTGTGTTCACCACCAAAAAGCTAGTCTCCTTCCATCACCCTATGTGTGGCCCCCTTCACCTTCCTAGTCCTTGCTTTACCCTTCTGGTAATCACAACTCTGTTGTCTGTATCTGTGCATTTGTTTTCTTGTTTTGGTGTCCTCGCCACCAGCAGGCCAAAGTGCACTGAAGATAAAACAATATTTACCCAAAAGTTCAGCGACGTAGTGCATGTTGGGAGATGAGTTTGCACTTAGCGTTTGCGAGATCTTTGGGTTAGAAGCATTCAGTCGCGTTTATGCGAAGCGCAACCATGGATCTCTTCACAGTCCTGGTGATTTGTCTTTCTTGTTTGATTCTCCTTTTTCTGTGGAACCGAAGCTATGCCCGAGAGAAGCTGCCGCCTGGCCCCACGCCTCTCCCAGTCGTTGGAAATATGCTGCAGCTGGATATGAAAAACTTCAACGAGTCCTTAAGAAAGGTTAAGTATGATTCATTTTCTTCCAGTTGTTGGAAGTGAGTAAATAAGGCAGTCCTAGATCTAAGTAAAATATGGTCCCAGACGCCCTGTTAAAGAAGTGGTTGTAAAGGGAAGTGTCCTTAGGACACCCAGACATCATTTTATTTTTTAAATTTAATGACATTTACTGGGGTGACATTGATTAATAACATTTTACAGGTTTCAGGTTTTCAAATCTATTACCCTGTTTCCCCAAAAATAAGACAGTGTCTTATATTAATTTTTTATAATTTAAAGTTGCACTAGGTCTTATTTTCAGGGGATGTCTTATCTTTCCATGAGCTAGGTCTTATTTTCGGGGATGTCTTATTTTCAGAGGATGTCTTATTTTCGGGGAAACATAGTAGTATTGTCACCTATATATTGCATCGTGTGCTCATCATCTCACGTCTAGTGTCCTTCCTTTACTATGTAGTTCACCCTTTTGTCCTCTTCCTCCTCCCCTCAGCCCTCCTTTCTTTTCTTGTTTTTTTTTTCCCCTCCTTTCTTTCGGTAACCACCGTGCTGTTTGTGTCTATGAGCTTGTTTGTTTATTGTTTGTTGCCCTCTGCTTTATATTCCACATACAAGTGAAATCGTGCAGGCCTTGTCCTTTTCTGCCAGACATGATTCTAAGTGGGGGTATGGCTAGACGGTGGCCAGAAGGGAGTGAGATCCATGAGGTGATTGGTGAAATTGCCAAAAGGAGGAATATCCTGAGCATATTATGACCTAGGTCCTCTTTCTAGTAATTTTTCCACTTGTAATGAAACTACCTTCAATTTTTAAAAAATCCACCGATGTACAGAGTCCCCACACTAACATTTGTCTGAAAGCACACACTGAGGTGAAGTTAAGGAGCGGATGAAAGGTTCAGGAACTTCCTCGGTTTCTGTTACGTTTGCTCGGTGAATGAGTGAATGACTGCTCTACTCTTAGCTATGGATATAGCTGTTGCTCTAAACCACATGTGTCAAACACAAGGCCCGCAGGCCAAATCCGTCCCGCCAGGCCTTGCAATGTGGCCCGCACCGCGCTGTCATCACTGCACTCCGCTGCGTTTCCATCACAATGACAGTTTATGACTGTTCAGTAAACCATTCGGCCCGCGATTTAGGCTGGATTTTAGATTTTGGCCCCCTCTCTGATTGAGTTCGACACCCCTACTAAACCTTGAAGGGATTGTCTGAAATCGGTCTCTCCGGAGGCAGCTGGTTACCAGGGCTCACCCTGGCAGCTCCTTCCAGTGTTTTGGGCTGGATCCGAAGGCCTTGTGTCGGCACCCCAGCTCATCCATTCATTGACGTACAACCTTAGGCAAGTTTTAAAAATCTCTCTGAGCCTCGATTTTCATTTCTTTAAAAGGTGAATAGTCATTATTTTGCACAAATTATTAGTATAGCATGTATCCAACAAGTTATGGAATGCCTGCTTTGACGAGGCACTATGATAGGTACTAGAGATTCCCCTCTCCTGCCCACAGTGTTATTTTGTATTAGTTCCAGGTGTACAGCAGAATGACTTGATAGTCATACATTGAACAGTGTTCCCCCTGATATTTCCAGTACCCTCCTGGCACCAAACATAGTTATTGTAATATTATTGACTATATTGCCTATGCTCTACTTTACATCCCCATGACAATTTTGTAACTACCAATGTGTACTTCTTTATCCCTTCTTTCACCCAGTTTCCAACCCCTCCCTCTTCTAGCAACCACCAGCTGGTCTCTGTGTCCATGAGTCTGTTTCAATTTTGTTTGTTTATTTTGTTCTTTAGATTCCACATATAATTGAACTCATATGGCATTTATCGTCCTCTGACTGACTCAGTTCACTTGCTATAACACCCTCTAGGTCCATCCATGCTGTCGCAAACAGTAAACTTGTAGTCTTTTTTTTATGTGAGCTGGGGATTTTCAGTGGTGAGTGAGGAAAAAAAAAAAGATCCTAGCATTATGCAATTTACAAGCCAGAGGGTAGGCATGTATTTATGATATAATAATGCAAATAAGTGTGTGATTATAAACCATGTAGCATGGACCCGGTGGAAAGAGGCCATGTATCGATAGCTTGGAGGACTGAGGGAGGGAGGAGCAGTCAGCAAAGGTCTCTGAGGAACTGAATTTGGAGCTGAGCTCTAAAGGAAGATTAGGCATTAACCAGATAAAAGTTTGTCCCAGGCTTTTTCGATCTGGAGAAGACGTCTTGATAGAGTCTGAAAAAGGACCAGGTTAGTTGTAGTCCAGAGAGTAAGTAAAAACATGGCGTGAGGTGAGATTGGAGAGATCCACAGGGGCCAAAGCCTGCAGGTCTCACACACAAGGATTTTAAGAATATTGGTTTTTAGCCCGACTGGCATGGCTCAGGGGTTGAGCATCAACCTATGAACCAGGAGGTCACGGTTTGATTCCTGGTCAAGGCATATGCCCTGGTTTCAGGCTTGATCCCAAGTGGGAAACATGCAGGAGGCAGCCTATCAGTGATTCTCTCTCATCATTGATGTTTCTATCTCTCTCTCCCTCTCCCTTCTTCTCTGAAATCAATAAAAATATTTTTTAAATAATTTAAAAAGGAATGTTGGTCTTTAGCACAAGAACAATGTGATACCATGAATGTGCTCACAGGACTGTCATGTCAACATTTGCCATGTGAAAACATCACTCTGGAGAAGGAATTGGAGAATGAGTTGTATATGGAGAATGAATTATAAGGTAGTAGGACTTAAATACTGGACTATTGGAAGGTCCTATACATTTAATATACTGAATAAGCTGCCGTTAAGAGAAAGACCCCAATAATGCAATGACTTAAGACAAGAGTTTATTTTTGTCTATGATGTCGGAATGAAAGACCTTCTGTGAGGTCTTCAGAGAACCAGTTTTTCTCAATCTTGTTGACCATCCTGGGACCCGAAGCTATTGTTTGCATTTTGGGGGTCACAGTGGGACCATCTCCAGGGTCACAGTGGAGTCAACCCATGACTAGGGCGAGAAGCAGAGAGCATGTGTAACCATTTATGGACTGACACACACCACTCCTGCTAACATCAGTTCACAGCAGCCTAGTCACACGGCCACACAGAGGAGCTGGGAGAGGTCTGTAAGGAGGCTGCCTTGTCCGGATGTAGTAATGAAACATAGAGGTCTCTGGTGCTAAAGAGAAGATACAGAAAACGGATAAGGGGTGACGATTATTTGTCTACTCCTGGGGCAACATGAAGAAGCTTCCCTTAAACAGGAGACACATATCAGTTATAACTATAGGAAGGAAGCAGAAATGTGGAGCAATTAGAGGTTTGGCAGAAAAAAAGTAATAAAATAATATGAATAAAATTTATGACAGAGCAGAGTCACATAGAGGAAACTGAATAAAGGATGACTATTGGTGGTGATAATATCAGCAATATTATTAATAATATGATGACAATTCCCATTTAAGCAATGTGAATTCTTATTAAGTTATTGGATCTAGAAGTTGAAATATTTATAATGAGTGAATGAATATTGAAATATCTTTGGTAAGATTAAGAATATTTCTCTCATTTATCTACTTTTTTAGTTTTTTGTTAATCCTCACCTGAAGGTATTTTTTTTTGCTTTTTAGAGAGAGTAAAGGGAGCAGGAGAGAGAGTGAAACATCAATGTGTCTAATTGGTTGCCTCTGCATGCATGGATGAATATGCAGTCAAGGTACGTTCCCTTGATCAGAGTCAAACCTGGGACCCTTCAGTCTGAGGACTGACACTCTAGCCACTGAGTAAAACAGGCTAGGGCCACGTTTGAGACCTCACTCTTCTCGTGTCTCCTCTTTGTTTCCCAGCTGGCGGAGGTGTACGGCCCGGTGTTCACTGTGTACCTGGGCATGCAGCCCACGGTGGTGCTGCACGGGTACGAGGCCGTGAAGGAAGCCTTGATCGACCGGGGCGAGGAGTTTGCTGGCAGAGGCAGCTTCCCAGTGATAGACTACCTCTCCCGGGGATTAGGTATGCTTCCGGGTGGGGGTTAGGTATGCTTCCGGGTGAGGATTGGGTGTGCTTCCGGGTGGGGAATGTTTGCAGATTTGCAAGTTGCCAAGATTCTAAATAGGCGAAGGAACTGAGAAATGTTAAGCATGAATAGAAATTTATGGAAATATTATTATTCCAACATTTTCTGTAAAGGACAATTAATCCATATTTAAAATGATGAAGGCGACACAATGTCTCCATAAAACAACTCACCACAATGTTCTATTTGTGACTAAGCCATGTTCGGTTTAAATTATGGCCTGCTAAGAATGAGAAAGAGAGGGAAGAGATTGATTAAATTATTTTATTCACCAAATATTTTGCTCTCTTCCTGGGTCATGGTGCCAAGAAATTATTTTAGAAAAATATAGTATGCATGGAACCAACATAAATTTGGAATACTTTCAACCTTACCTTTAGTCTTCTCATCTAAAAAGGATAAGAGATATTTGAATTCAATAGAATACAAAGCATAAAGCATTAACATGCTCTGAAAAGATTATGGAGAAACACATAGAAAGGGTTGGAATTGATATTAGAAAAAGCTTTCCAATTTAAGGACTTGAACTATCTTCCATTTGTTTTTGGATCTGGACTTAGAACTGCCCATTCCCCAGGAGAGCCACTGGGTTCCGACAGAGATAAGGCCTGAATGGGGTTCTTCCCTCCTCCAAATTGTTCTCGAAGATTTTTTTGGACAAGTTTCCTACGAGCATTATTTTTCCTCCCTGATCCTGTCTTGACTCTGGAAGTCTAATGTCAAAGTTCCTTGGTGTTAAGGCACATTTCACGGAAGGTATTTCAAAAGAGAGGGAACTCCATGTTAAAATTCGAAGGCCTATGGCTATATCCCTTATCTGAGGAGTAGATTTTCTTTCTTTTTTAAAAAAAATATATATTTTATTGATTTTTTTACAGAGAGGAAGGGAGAGGGATAGACAGTTAGAAACATCAATGAGAGAGAAACATCAATCAACTGCCTCTTACACACCCTCCACCAGGGATGTGCCCACAACCAAGGTACATGCCCCTGATGAGAATCGAACCTGGGACCCTTCAGTCTGCAGGCAGAGGCTCTCTCCACTGAGCCAAACCGGTTAGGGCTGAGGAATAGATTTTCATGAGCTTCCTCCCATTGCATCAGAGTTGTCTCTCCTTCTAGGAACTGGCTCCATTTTCACTCACCATGCACAGAAGTTGGCCCTGAACATTTCATCGATTACTTGGGCTCACCATGATTTATTAGCTGTGTGACTAAGGCGTAAGCATTTTGCCTCCATGATCTTCAGCCTTCTTATCAGTTAAATGGGGACAAAACTGGTTCACAGAGTGACTGCGAAGTTTAGATGAGTTCATGGGTGAAGAAGGGTAAGTTCTTAGAAAGATGTCAAGCCAAGAGTCGTGGTAGCGAGCATCTAGGCTGTGGTAAGAGAGAAGGCAGGCGAGCAGGGCGCAGTGACATTATCATTTTCTGAGATAAAGACAGTCAGCTAGGATTCTATCTGACTGGAAGCTATCCTTTCTTATTTACTGTTTGTCCCGATAGGAATTGTTTTCAGCAATGGAGAGAGGTGGAAGCACACTCGGCGTTTCTCCCTCATGGTTTTGCGGAACATGGGGATGGGCAAGAAGACCATTGAAGACAGAATTCGAGAGGAAGCCTTGTGTCTGGTGGAAGCTTTACGGAAAACCAACGGTGTGCATTTGTGAAATGGACAGGAGTGGTTTGGGTGATGCTGTTACAGGTAGACGGCAGAGATGGGTGGCTCAAGTACGACAGAAGCTCACGTTTTGCTCCCGGACCAGTAGGAAGAGGGAACAGGTTGGCTTTTCCAGGCTCTTTGGGTCCCAGGTCAACAGGGGCTTAGATAGCTTCCCCGTGTGGCTTCCAGTGTCACCCAGGACTGGAGAAGTACAGAGCAGAAGTTACAAAATAGTCATGAGGATGTACAGGACAGCATAGGGAATGTAGTCAATAATACTGTAAAAAATAAATAAAATTTAAAAGATATTTTAAAAAGATCTTGTGAATTACCTTGTGACTCTTATTTGGCAAATACTGTACATAGAAGCCTACTTGAGGGAAATTAATAAACTGGGTTGGGTTAGACAGTTATGTGTGGGGAAACACAATACACTTTATTGTAGGCGTGCCGCGTTTATGGTGGCGGCAGGTCTAGATCCCATATTGAGTCCCCCTTTCTCGGTTATTTCACATGGTTAGTTTAAGATGCCGATGGACGTTCTGCTCTAACAATGAGCTCCTCTTGTGTTCAGCGTCTCCCTGTGACCCCTCGCTGCTCCTGGGCTGTGCTCCCTGCAACGTGATCTGCTCCGTCATCTTCCAGAGCCGCTTCGAGTACAGCGATGAGAAGTTGCTGACCTTGCTAAACTATTTTCATGAGAACTTCAGGATTATAAGCACCTCCTGGATTCAGGTAAACTCAAGATTTCTCTTTAAGTGAGGAATCATTTTCTGACTAATCTGCTGCTTATGCCTACCCCGTCCCTTGGCCCTATTTCAAAATGGCTGAAGTGATGTTCATCAAGCTATCACTTGTAAGTGATTGGTGAGTTATCAAATCAGCTCAGTGTGTTAAAATTAAATTTAAAACATGAAACATAGCAATAGAAATAAAAACATTAAACTGCATCAAAGGATGAGGTATTTTTTCTATAGATGAAGAGGGTAATGGTGTAAAATGCATGCATTTCTTGCTATAGGACACTGTCAGAAAATATCAGTAACCTCTGATATGTAATCATTAACAGCTAAACTTTTCTGTGGCTCCTAAGGTTTTTCAGCGTTTCACCTGGGAAGGAGACCAAAGAGTCAAGTCCTCATTTTTTTGGAACAGGAAACTGTCACCCACAGATAGGAACCTAGTCTCAAAGTATGCTAACCAGGACAAAGAATGAGCCAGACCTAGAATCCAGACTTCTTGATGCTCTATCGAGTTTGATACGTGCTACCAGCCCGAATAAATTGCTCCGGTGCCCAGCCGCGGTGTTAGGCCATGAAGGTGCCCGTTAGAGCAGAGTCTGTAAGCTCCAGGATTGGGAATGGTCCAACGAAAGGGCAGCATGCACTCTCCCGAGGGGATAAGGGCCTGAGAAAAACCAGCTGAGTGATTTGGGCATTCCCTTAGTCTTCCGGATGCGCTGTTTCTTCATACCAAACGTGGGTATGAGCACTACCGTTTCCCGTGACTGTAGAAATACGTGGCGGGTAGACCGGGCGGAACTCTGGGTTCGAGCTGTCGCTCATTTGGTGTCTTGGACCGGTGGACTCACCTTTCCGAACCTCAGCATCCTCCTTTGGAAAGCGGTGGCATGCTCCTGAATTCTTTTCAGAGAGCGATGACTCTAAAATGAACGTGAGTGGTTTTGGAATTGCTTTGTAACTTGTGTGTACTGTAACTCCAGCCATTTTTATCAGCTCCCTCTCTTTCAAATACCAAGTATGTTCTAGTTCAGGATGCACACGCCTCATTCACCTTCACCTACTCAGCAGATAGCAAAGTGTCTGGTACACAATAGAGGCCGGTAAAAGTTTGGTAAGTAAATTAATGAGTTATTCTTTACTCTTTCAGCTCTACAATGCTTTCCCCTACTTACTGCATCATCTCCCAGGAAATCATAAAGAATTCTTTAAAAACTTTACCGAACAGAAAAAATTTATTTTGGAGCAAGTAAAAGAACATCAGGAGACCCTGGACCCCAATAACCCTCGAGACTTTATTGACTACTTCATGATTAAAATGGAAAAGGTATCAGTGACCCTGATTTTGCAACTTCATCTTCTGTGGGTGGTGATGTGGCTCGGATTAGTTCTGATCTTCTCAGTGAAATTGGGATATTCAATCAGAAGCTTCTTCCCAAGGATGTATTCATTGCTTGTGCAACCTCTTACTTGTGCAAATCATATTGGGTGTCTTGAGAGAGTCCCAAATTCTCCCTAAAAATGACTTACATGATTAAAGCTGCATCTCTATTTGGAACAGGTTGAAATACATGCACACATACACGCGTTCACACACACGCACATGCAAAGAAGCACACACATTCAAGAATAATGATAAGCAAACATATATCTTTCATAAATAAGTTCTATGAATGCAAGATGTAACATGTGAGGAAACACAGGGATGGCTAGGCATCTCGAAAGGCTTACCTTGGGAAAGAAACTAGGAAATCTTCCCAGATTAGTTTTAGAGGAAACTCTGGCTTCGATGATCAGAGATGACAAAATAGGTCCAAATGGTGAAATGTGAGGAGTCCCCAAAGAGGTTACTGAGGAGCTGTCACTGTGTAATGACTGGCGACATTGGGGACAGTGATGCTGTGGGGGGGCTGATGGTTCTGGAGCTTGAATGCGAAATTTAGACGATGAAATAGACAATAAATGCTAGACCTGACGGAGGAGCCATAATGACTTGATTAAAAAAAAATTATGTTTGAAGGAACTGAATGGCTCTCGTGGGTGAGAAGGTGAAGAATCAGGAAGGACTTATTGAAAGTTCACAGCTCTGGTTTTATTTAAACTGAAGGAATCCTAACAACGTATCTGACCTTTACCTTTAGCTATTATACTCTCTAATGTCTGGCTTCATTGGTCAATTAAGCAAATGATGATGTTATATGGCGTTATGGATGGTATCTCAAAGGCTCTTCAATTTATCAAGTCATTCTAACGCATCGTTCCTAGGAAAAGCACAGTGAACAGACTGTGTTTACCATGGACAACCTGATCACGACGATATGGGATATGTTCAGTGCGGGGACGGAAACTACGACCTCCACCCTGAAATACGGCCTCCTGCTCCTGCTCAAGCACCCCGAGGTCACAGGTACGCTCTCAGATGTGGGGCAGGATAAGAATTCCAGGCGGAGCCCTAACCAGTTTGGCTCAGATTCTGATTCCTTCCTCTTCCAGCCAAAGTCCAGGAAGAGATTGACCGTGTGGTGGGCCGAGAGCGGAGCCCGTGCATGCAGGACCGAGGCCGCATGCCCTACACAGATGCCGTGATCCACGAGATCCAGAGATACATCGACCTCGTCCCCAACAACCTGCCCCACGTGGTGAACCAGGACATCAAGTTCAGAGAATACTTCATTCCGAAGGTGAGAGATGTTTCCTCTCCACCCCTCCATAGGAAGGGACCTCAGGTTTCCACACTCACGGTGGTTAGAGTCACAGGCTGCCTGACTTCCTACAGGCATGACTCATTCCTGGCTCCGCCTCCTCACCCTCCGATGACTCGCTCCCTTCCTTCCAGATGGTTGACACGACTGTATACAAGTCTGCTTACGTTCCCACAGACTTTCAGGACACTCTGCCTGTTCCTTAGCCCCGGCTGCTGTCCACTTACTGCTTCCCGGTGTATGTTTTATTTTTATTTTTTGTTTTTGTTTTGTTTTTTAAAATATGTTTTATTGATTTTTTTAAAGAGAGGAAGAGAGGGGGATAGAGAGTGAGAAACATCGATGAGAGAGAAACATCGATCAGCTGCCTCTTGCACACCCCCTACTGGGGATGTGGCCGCAACTAGGGTACATGGCCTTGACCGGAATCGAACCCGGGACCTTTCAGTGGGCAGGCCGACGCTCTGTCCACTGAGCCACACCGGTTTTGGCCCCGGTGTATGTTTGATTACTCTGATCACTGAGCCAGTATCCTACACTTCCCCCTGCCTCATCAGCTATCTGTTTCACTTAGTGGTCAAAATTTTCATGAAAAAAAAAAAAAGCAACAATTCAATTGAAAGTGGTAGGAGGGGATTCATACCAGCATTTCATTCTGTTTGGGAAATAAAGGGATTTCAAGAATATGGCCAGGCATAAAGCAACAAGCAGACTGTCAAATTACTAAGGGGAGGGGAGGGAGATCTGGGGGAGATAAGAGATCAACCGAAGGACTTGTATATATGCATATAAGTACAACCAATGGACACAAAACTCTGGGGAGGTGGGGTCTGGATGGGGGGGGGGCAATGGTAAAATATGTAAACATAATAATTGAATAAAAAAATTAATTAAGAAAAAAGAATATGGCCAGGCGGGTGGAGTTTTGAGGAAGGCCTCATACTTGGTTTCAAAGAGAATGGGCTGTTTCCAGTGACACCAGCGCGTCCAGACGATGTGCAGTTTCTGGGGAACAGTGCTCTCCAGGGCACGGCCTTCGAGTCCTGAAAAGCAAGGGCTGGTGTCAGGCTACAGACGGAAGAGGACGGCCTTGGGGTCCATGAACTGGCACCATATGACTGCAGACCTGCTAGCCTCGGTCTTTTATTTGTTCTGTGACATGAAGTAAATAACTCCTCCTTTTATGCCTCCGTCTCCTCATCTATGAATCAAACGGAGTAGACAAGGGACTTTTCCCCAAGCTCCGTAACCTCCTTGATAATCCAGTGTATCTGTTTCTTTTCTCACCAGGGCACAGCCATTTTCACATGCCTGACTTCTGTCCTACACGATGACAAAGAGTTCCCCAACCCGGGCCAGTTTGATCCCGGCCACTTCCTCGATGAAAGTGGCAACTTTAAGAAGAGCGACTACTTCATGCCCTTTTCAGCAGGCAAGCAAGCGTCGTTTTTTTCTCTCTCTATTATATCCAGGGGTCAGATGAGACGAGGAAGGGCTTTGCGTGGGGACTACGCTGGGCTGGACAAACTGTCATTTGCGTGAGGCCAGAGGCACCACCGCCAAAGTCCAGGTTATTTCTCTTTGGATTGGAGGCTCCTCACTGAGTTCTGTCCCATCACCCACCACTGAGATGCCTAAGAGCTCCTCCTAGAAGTTCAATGCCACTAAGACTTTCCTCCCCTTCGCTGAGAAGCCAGTTCATTCAATACATTTTACTAGGTTCCTATATGGAGAAGACTCATGTCAGATGCAAGGATTAAATGTGGGTAAGAAGCAGGCACTCTCTCTACGAAAGAGGAAGCCAAATGAATAGGCAGTGAGACCCCAGAGAGGAATGGTCTTTGAGGGGCTGCTGTGAGAGCCCAGGGGCAGAGAAGTTGGGGGGTAAGGGAAGGTTTCTTGCAGAAAGCATTTGAGTATCTTTCTTTAATTTGTCAGGGCCCTGGGGAAAAAATAGGTGGCATACTCAAAAGATCAACTAAAGAAAGTAGAATGAAAAGACTGTTTCAGAGGTGAGGGAGGGATGAGGGAAGGGACAAGGTATGTGGAGTTTCTGAGGGGCGAGTACCAGCAGAAAGACATTCCCATCTGGGGATGGAAGGAAGGAGGGAAGGAACCCAAATAGATTTTTTTTTTGTTTTTGTTTTTGTTTTTTGTTTTTTGTTAATTCTCACCTGAGGATATTTTTCCATTGATTTTTTTAGAGAGAGTGGAAGAGATGGAGTGAGACAGAAACATTGATGTGAGAGACACATTGGTTGGTTGCCTCCCACATGTGATCAGGGCCAGGGATTGAGTCTGCAATCCAGGTACAAGTCCTTGATCGAACCCAGGACCCTTCAGTCCGCAGGCTGACGCTCTATCCACTGAGCAAAACCAGCTAGGGCTAGATCTTTAGCAGAGACAGGATGCCTCAACTGGAGATGCATCTATAGGGGGAGAACAGCCGTGGGCTAACCTGTGGCCTGGCAGGGTGGGACTGAGGAAATGAATAATCTGGCTGTTGCAATACCAAGTCCTCTGAGTTTATTCGGAATCCAGAAGGAACTCACTTCAGGGTGTATGCAGTCCATAAAACCACCTTCCTCAACACAGAGCAAGCATAGAAGACAAACGCACCCAGAACGGACCGAGAGGCAGGGGAAACAGAATATCCAGCACGCTCCACTGGAGACACAGCGGAAAGAGCAGAGCGAAGGGCCTTTCCTATAGAAGTCACTGAAACAGAGACAAAAATTGGAGATTGGCTCTTGATTAAATATCTAAGAAAATCACTTGGTCTCATGGCAGCAAATTACGTGCAATTCCCAAGATCATTCCAAAGCAAGACACCACTCTCCTCCTCATCTTTCTTCCTGTATAACGTGCCTGCTGGAGATTTCTATTCACATCACAGGGCTTGCAGGCTTGCTTTTGACACAGTGGGTACCATTGCGAGATCTAAGGCCTTACCTTAAGAGCGTATGTTCCAGTCTGTGAGACAGGTGAATAGAATTAGAATTTCGTGTGAAGAGTGCTGTATTGGAAGCATTAGTGAGGGTTGAGGAAAACGGATGAGGGGGTGAATTACATACCCTGAGCATGTCACAGAAGTTTGCATAGGATAAATGACCTCTGAGCTGGGTCCAGAAAGACATGGAGAACATCAGCCGACAGGGCAGAGGGGAAGGCTGTTCCGTTTGGGGGAATGACTGGAATCTGAGAGAACACCTGAGGTTGCCTGTCAGTTTGGGAATTAAGGAACGGTAGTGCTTGTGGCTAGTTGGGATGTTTCTTTTTATACTTGGCAATGGTAAGCTCTTGAAATTTTGTAAAGCAGGGACATGACAAGGTTAAGATTATCTTTGAGAATCCAATGAGGAGACACAAACCTATTGTTGTGTTGGGTTGGAGGCAGATGGAAAAGTACAGAGTGTGTCTTATGTCAAGGTGAGTGTGTGTGTGTGTGTGTGTGTGTGTGTGTGTGTGTGTAGAAAGATGTCATTGACAGGTCTCAGCAAAGCCAATCCAACATGGGTGCCCAGAAAAGATCTTTTCATATAGCATGCACACAAAACATGTGCTGAGGAAATGAAGAAAACCAGGTTTCGATGTAGGTAGGAGAAGCCATGGGTTAATTCGGCTTTTATTAATATATTTATTTACGTATTCGTCCCATCTTTTTTAAGCCTCTTTGTGTACTAACTCAGACATAGGATGAAATGCATGTTTAATTTATGTGTCGTTTTTAGGAAAGAGAGTTTGTGTTGGAGAAGGCCTGGCCCGCATGGAGTTGTTTTTACTACTGACCCACATTTTGCAGCATTTCACCTTGAAACCTCTGGTTGATCCGAAGGACATTGACACCAGCCCACTTGTCAGTGGGTTCGGCTCGGTACCACCCTCCTATGAGCTTTGTTTCGTTCCCGTCTGAGGAAGGGGCAGGTTGCAGAACAAGACTCTCACCTCATCTGAAGGAGCCAGACGCTCTGTGTGTTGCATTAGCCGTTATAACAGGAGGAATGACGTTCCTGAGCTCTGTCTCTTCTAATTTCCCCATCCTTTACAAAATAAAACGATAGCCCTAACTGGTTTGAGTCAGTGGATAGAGCATTCGGACCAAAGGGTCCTAGGTTTGATTCCAGTCAAGGGCACGAACCTTGGTTGCAGGCTGAACCCTGGCCCGGGCCCTGGCCAGGGCTTGTGCAGAAGGCAACCAATTGGCATGTTTCTCTCACGTCAATGTTTCTCTTTGTCTTTCCCTCTCTCTTCCACTCTCCCTAAAATCAATGGAGAAATATCCTCAGATGAGGATTAACAAAAGAAATAAAACTATAAAGCCTCTACTGTGAGACATAAGAGAAAGTCTTTAGACCTTGAACTCTGCTAAAATTTTTCAAAAATGGGCCACAAAAAGTACTAATTATATGAGATCGATAAATAGGTCTTTATTTAAATTAGTATTTAAACTCCTATCTATTCATCAAAAGACACCATTTAAGATACTCAAAAGGCAAGGTACAGACTGGGAGAAATATTTCCAATGAATATATCCACAAAAGGACTTATATCCAGGTTTCGTAAAGAACTAAACACAACACAAAGACAGCCAAGTATTTTTTGAATGGGCAACATGTTTGAAGAGTCATTTCACAGAAGAGAGGTTTTATGTGGTCAGTAAACATGAGAAAGAGTCCTCCACTTTATTAGTTGTGGGGGGAATAAAAATTAAAACCACACTGAATTACTCATGTGTACCTACCATCTGCTAACACACATGTTCCAGGCGAGCAGGGATCTTTGTTTTGCTCACTAACAAATATCATTCGGCTGGAGGAGTGCCTGGCACGTATTGGCTCAGTAAATATTTGATTAAAAAAATGACTACTTGAATGAATTAAGAATGAGTGAGTGAATTTCTCTTTGAAGGTGGATTTGACCATGTCTGTTAAAATGTAAATGCAAATACCTGTCTTTCAAGTAATTCCACTTCTTAAGCATTTATTTCACGGGTATTCTTGAATGTGTCCCTTAATCGTATGGATGTGGATGTTCACTTCATGATTATTCATGATAGATTGGAAAAAAATTAAAGTGCTACTGGAGGTGGTAAGTACATTGTGGTGCATCTTTACAATATGCAATAGGTAAAAACAATCTTCACAGCGATATAATTTTGAAATCTTTATGAGGTGGTTGACTATTCTCATATGAAAACAACATATTTAGTTCTTATATTTAACCAATCTAAAGAACACAATATCTCTCAGCTGGTCCTTCTCCATCTGGATTCCAGTGTCTGTGGGTACCAGAACCCACAAGTAATAGCTCACGTTTTTAGCGTTTGACAGTATGCTCTGCCTGAATCATCTCCTGTGATCCTCACAGCCTTTGGATAGATGTCAGGACCGATACCATCCTCATTTCAGAGATGGGAAGAGTGAGGCACACCAAGGTGAACTATCCCGCCGAAGGACACTTACTTTATAAGTGGCAGAGACAGGACTTGCACCCTGACCATCTGACGTCAGAAGCCACCTCTTAATCACAAGCTACCCTCTCTTTCCGAATGTACTCAAGGAATAACTGTGATGAGTTAGTGGGGTCAGGGATTGAAATCGGGACAAACCAGGTGCCCCAGCCTGTTCCCAGAGCTCACGCCAGGAGTCCAGTGACATGGTGAAGTTAATCCTGGCGACGCCGGAGTAGCTCGATAAGTCTCACTCTCTCCCGGAGAACAACGTTTCAATCTGGAGAAATTACTGGGAAGCAGTTCACGGAAGTCCCGGAGAGTCCCCCACATCGGGCGGGACCTGGAGGGGTGGCTGTGAGGAGAATGTGCAAGCAGGGGGCTGTCTGAGGGCGAAGCTGTTCAGCCAAGAACAAGCGTGTAGTGGCTTCGCTTGTGTTCACTCTGCATCTGGACGGCGATAACAGTTTCCAGAAGTTTTATTACGTGGACATCATTTGTGTTGCTCTTGTTCTGTTGTGCAGTCTAGAGACTATAAGTAGCAGATCTCAATTCCACAGGGTCACCTGCTTTCCTCTAGGCTCACATTTTTTGTGAGCAGTAAAGGTACTAAAATCCCTTGATTTATCAAAACACTCTTCCTTGATGTTATTGTTATCTGTACCCCCATGGGAAGAGAAAGCAAAAGATGCTTCTGGGCCTTAATATATACCTGTTGATTAAAATAATAGCTTTGCCCTAGCCGGTAGCCCTAGCTGGTTTGGGGCAAGGAGCTCCCAGGATGACCCCTGGCCCCCCAGATTCTGGGGATAGAGCGTCGGCCTGCAGACTGAAGGGTCCCAGGTTCGATTCCGGCCAAGGGCACATGCATGGGTTGTGGGCTCGATAACCAGGAGGGGGTATGCAGGAGGCAGCCAGTCAATGATTCTCTCATCATTGAAGTGTCTATCTCTCTAACCTTCTCCCTTCTCTGAAATCAATGAAAATATATTTTAAAACAATAATAATAGCTTGTGTGGTCCAGGCAGCTGCGAGGCCTCGCCCAGCGGTGTAGGTGCCCTGGAGGGGAACATGCAGAGGGGATTCCTCACAGGAGCTGCACCTCGACAGGCTTTCCCTTCTCCACTCAGAGCTGCCCCTGTTCCCTGGAAGGTTCCGGGGTAAGAGCTCCCAGGTTGATCCCCGGCCCCCAGATTCCTGTGATCTCGAAGGATCTGCTGCTGTTACTCTCTCTGTCGGCTCTGACTGTGCTGAGGGAAATGGCCCGCTTCACCTAGGTGATTAGATTGTGGGCATAGGGTTGTTCAGAATATTCCCTTATGGTCCTTTTTATGTCCACGGCATCAAAGCAGCGGCCCTCCTCCTCACTCGGACAACAGTAATCTGTGTCTTCTCTCTCTTCAGGGGGCACTGGCTATATGGGTTTATCAATTCTACTGAACTTCCAAAAACTTTTTTTTTTTAAATTATTTTTCTCTATTGATTTCCTGTTTAAAAGTTGTTTTTTTTAATTTCTGTTCTAATTTTTATTTTTAGGTTTCTATGGCTTTCTTTGTATTTAATTCCTCGCTGTGACTGATCCCGGTCCCATTTTTCCCTACCCGCTGAAACTGCTCCTGAACGCAGTTTTTATCTTTTAAATCCAACACCTCAGGTAGTTACACACAGCCACACAGAGAGCTTTTCTCTGTGCTTCTCCTTAGGAGGACCAGCAGGCCTCTTTGTGTTACTTCCTTTCTTTTTTTTAATCCTCACTCGAGGATGTTTTTCATTGAGAGAGTGGAAGAGAGAGGGAAAGACAGAGAGAAATACGTCAACCGGTGCCTCCTGCACGAGTACCGACCAGGGCCTGGGTCGGGGAGGACCCTGCAACCGAGGTACATGCCCTTGCCTGGAATCGAACCCGGGACCCTTCAGTCCACAGACCCTTGCTTTATCCACTGAGCCAAACCAGCTAGGGCAACTTTCTTTTACTTTTTCACCTGGCTTATGCACGAAGGAAGGAAAGTCTGAGAACAGGCTCAGCAAATGGTGCTTTTTATTGAGAGCATGCAGAGGAGAAATGGCTCTGCCCTGGCGCACAGTAATCAGCTTCTCTATTCACATTGGCTACCCAGTACCACTCGGCATCGTATTAGCTCACGTGTGGCCAACACACATGTTTCCGAGTATGGAGAAGAGCAGATCCGTGTCCCAGTGAGACTCAGGAAATTCTCCTTTCATGGAGGCTGGCTATTCCTGGACCCTGAGTGAAGGGGGAGATGAGAAGTGGAGAGGTCAGAGAAGAGACCCCCAGGAAAGGGAGGGAGAGGGAGTTGCTGACGGAAGGTCTGTGCCTCCTCACACAGGAATGAAGCAGAGCTTGTAAGGAGGCGGCACAGAAGCAAACCCATTCATAACCGGGGTGATGTCAAGGTCCTTTACATCGACCACAGCTTTCAAGGTAAAATTCTGTAAGATGGCGGTCAGGAATAAAAACAGCTCCATGCGGGCCAGGCCCTCTCCCGCACACATCCGTTTTCCTGAAAAATAACACACACAGAGAGTAGATAATCCTTGCACACTGATTTTTCTGGATGTCAGAAAGAGAATGTGCAGAAATTATTGGATGGTTGGATGGATGGATGGATGGATGGATGGATGGCAGAATGATTGGATACCCAGATGGACATATATCCTGTCCACCCAATATTCTTATCCTATCAGGTATTCTTTCAACAAATATTTATTGAGACTCAGCACTATACCAAGTATCTCATTAAGTGTTCTCACTTTATAACTTCTCTTCCAGGTTTCTATCAGTCTTTTTCTAAAAACACGCATACATTGGTTGTACTTTCTGTTTGTAGCCTGATGTTTCATGGTCGTTCTTCACATTCTCATAGCCTTTGTTCTTGCTCCACGTATACTTACTCTTCATCAATCTCCAACACACCCTGAAGTTCTGGTTTTGTACCACATTGTTCTTTTTGGCTGGGATGCATGCACTTCTCATATTTTCTGTACTAAGCTCAGATTTCACTTCTGAAATGGAAGGACAACCTGGTGATCTGGCCTAATAACAAGAGTGGGCCATGAGGAGAGAAAGTGTGTGGACCTGGGAAGAGGTGCTTCTGGCCATGGACAAAGAGCAGTTCTACCAGTCCCAGGGTGAGGGGTACATAAGTTCCAACTGATTCCCAAAAAATATCCCGCCCTCTGAAGTACCAATGACAATAAATTTGTAGCCTAGTCAGTGTGGCTCAGTTGGTTGAGCATCATCCCATGCACCAAGAGGTCGCCGGTTCGATTTCTGGTCAGAGCACAATCCTGGTTGCAGGCTTGACCCTCATTAGGGGTCATGCAGGAGGCAGCCCATCAATATTTCTCTCTCATTGCTGTTTCCATCTCTCCTTCCTCTCTCTCTTAAAAAAAAAAATCAATTAAAAAAACATTTTGAAAAAAATAGAAGAAAATAAATTTGTATTACCTGCTGAGAAAGCCATGAAGTAGTCACTCTTCTTGAAGTTGCCTGCCTCATCCAGGAAGTGGCCAGGATCAAACTTCTCTGGGTTGGGGAATTCTTTGTCATCTCGCAGCACAGAAGTCAGAGATGTTATAATGGTCGTGCCCTAGA